ACTCTCAGTCATCTGTGGAATAACAATGGGAAAGAAGGGGATCATAGTTAAATTGTTAATCATAATGTGATACCACAGTCAGCAGATTCCCCATATGAGAAAAACATGCTCAGGGTCCTGCATATCGACTCAAAGAGAGGACATAATGCAGAAAATATTCTTTCCACCTGACTGGAGAGAGGGACACTCTTCTAAATAATACAGAGAATGTATTTGTTCTATTGCTATTGTTAGGTTATTATATTGAGGCTTTGTTACTGCTGGGTCAACATATAGGTCTATCAAATTTCCATGTACTCTCTGTATGAGAAAAAACATAGTTTTTTAACATAGCAGTATAATTACATAATTGGTACATTACAGTGATTGAGACACCATTTAATTTGTATTCTTTATATATATTTATAAAGATTATGACAAGGTCGGGAGAGAGGGAATACTTCACCTACTATATACAATATTATCTATCATATATTTAGGGAGGTCAGTAAGTATGCAAATGAATGGCAGATGGTGCATTAGAAGTCATTGGAATTCCCGTTCTCCATCCTGCTTTGTAACTTAACCCCAGCCCACATTCAAAGCTTCTTAAGGGTTAGTTCATATCACTTGTTATATGGCCTTAAACGCAATAGTCTCTGACGACCAACTTGGTTTTATCCATGCTATCGCTCTTTACTGTGATCTTAGATCGAATTGGGATTGTTTTTGGGAACTGCTGACACTGGCAGATTGGTGGGCAGGAACTCTTGACAGTACAGATTGGGTGATAACAAGGAAGTGCTCTAAACAGGCCCTGATTGGCCTATGACTTTGAGAACTTCCCTTAATTTTGGGAGTGATGGGTCTTGGCTGAGGAAAGCTTCTAGCTTTGTGTGAAGTTGTGATCAGGGTGACCAGGGTGCGAGGGCCGACACTTGGTCATCAGTGAAACTGTATGCTCTCTTGTAGCAAAGACAGAAAAAATCAAGAAATAAACGATTGCATGAACCTATCCATTGCCTCTGTTGAATGCCAGCACAAGAGCTTTTACAGTACTGTGAAGTTGTTAGAACTGTTGCTCCACTAGTGACTCACAGTGTGGGTGATACCTCAGAATACAAAAGTGGATTCTGTGCTGCATTAAACTTGAAAATCCAAAACTAAAATAATGTGAAGACCACTCACAAATACCTACAATTTTAGTCTAACTAACAAGTATTTTCAGAATGTGTATTTGTATTTGTATGCAACATTGCATTACCAGAATTTTGCTCTCTTGGTTCAGATCTCTCCTGAAAAAGACATCCATAATCTCAATGGGACTAATTGGTTAATAGTGGTTAAATAAATAGGACTTAATCCGCCTCCTGTATTTGAAAAGAGATATTCGGAGAGATAGCCTTCCAATATAAAGTTATGCAAACAGGATCTCATTAGCAAATGCAAATGAGAAAACACCAAATCTTCACGGAGAGGCAGAAGTGTATCTCAATGGGATGGCTGGAACATGACAGCTCACCAACTGCCCCCACGCTGAGCACCAAATGTGATGGTCCACTCCTGCTGCTACTCTTAACAGGATGTAGGACCAAACCATAAATGTAAGCGTGGGGGGGAGACAAGGAAGTGGGTCACTAGAGGCCCTCACCTTCTGCCATTTGAAGCCCTGCTGTAAAAAAACCAAAAAAAAATAACAAAAAAAAAAAAAACGTCTCTCATTGGTGACCATTAGTTTGTGGAATAAGGATCCCAGTCGTATTTGTTATATCAGTTATTTATCAAAGTGTTCTAGTGATATGTACATGGTGACTGCTTCCATTTTTTCCATTTACAAATGTATATTATTACACCCACTACATACATATATACATACAGATTTCAAAACACTTCTTCTGTATCAGAGCATTAATGTTTAGTTTTGATCTGGAAAGAAAACCTTTGCACCAATAAACTTTTTTCTTTGTTCACTGATAACTAATTAACAAAAAGATGACTTTTTTAATTTTAATTGGAAATATTTATATTATTATTTATATTGGAAAATAGGAGGACGTGTTTCTGGTTTCCTGCGTGTTTTGTGAAGGCATCTAATCAGCTAGGAGGAGAGAAAGACATAACTTTCAATTAAAGGTTAACTAATTAGGTTTGTATGCCTGTAAGTTATTGAGGGGGCATTTCCCAGGAAGTGAGAAAGGCAAACCTTCAGAACCATTCAGAACTGTCATTTGAGAACGTGTCTGTCGTGACATCACAAGCTGCGGCGGGCAGAGTTCCTGGCATGGCTTCAGACCAACAGACCTTCTGCTGCCAGCAGGATGGCAGTGGCCTAGGGCAGGGCAGCGATGGCCAGGTCACCAGCTTTTTCCTCCTGCCTGGCATGAGCACTGCAGGAGGGGTGGCCGGCAGGATGGCAAGATGTCAGAAACAGCCCTTTAGACGTGTCAAAAAGCAGGCACAGCTAGGGGAAGCTGCTCATCGAGCGTGACAGAGAGAGGAGTGAGGCCATTATGCAGCGTGGCTGCCCAGTAAACACATGATAACCAAACAGCATTATGTGATTTATAGTAGTATAGTAGTAGTGCTTTTTTTCTTCTTTTTGGTATGTTTGTGGTTATAAGATAAGCTCATTTAAGGTTCAAGGTAGAATTAAAAAAAAAAGTGGTATATAAGCAACAAGTTTAAACTGAACAGAGCGATAGAATCCAAACAGGGCAAATGCTTCGAAAGTTCATTTTAAAGATCTCCTTTCAGACATGTTGTAGGTCCTCTAAAAATGCTCTGTTTTAAATAATAACTTGTGTCTACATCCAGAATCTATAAATATCCAAATGCTTATTTCTAGAGTTAAACTTCTGGACATATGATTTAAAAAATCCATTCTCTGTGTATGTGCACTGGCAGTTTCAACATCACACTTGTGCAAAGCTGCATATTGTAACCCTAGATAAAGTGAAAACAGCCTTCAGGTGTCAGACTCTGCACATACATCATTCTGCACAGTGAAGCTCAAACATCCAAGTAAAGGAACAAAACATATTTTTGACTGGAGGAGGCAGGTGGGATATTTCAGAATAAATACATTTTTTACAGTGAGCTTAATGTGTGAGTGAGTGTGCGAGCCCCTGTGCTGCTGGGACAAACAGAAGCTTATATAGAAACTTTTCGACACTCTACACGTTCTCACTTCTGACTCACTGGTTTTACCATCAAAGCATGTGACCATATGTGTTTTTGTGTGTGTCAAATGAGTAGTTAAATAAAGAAAGAGAAAGCTAGACGAAGAGAGAGAGAGTTGAATGTGCTTGGATTTCAGTCCAATACAAATTGACTCTTGAGCACTTTATTACATCTGATACATAACACATTTACATACACACTGCAGCACAGAAAAGCCTATCACATATTAGAAAGGGGAAACAGAGAAGCAGGGGGAAATACTTCTTGTTTTATTTAGGAGCACTGAAACCACATGCGCCTTGCTCTCTATTCATGACTTCCTGATATAATCAAACCACTCAATTAGTTTATCAGCCGAGATGTTTGTAGACTGTTCGCCGTTCAAATAGTTTACCCAAATAATGAATCTGTCCTGTTTGATGTGCAGTGTGTTTATTTCACAGGTGGCGAGCTGCTTCATTAATCCTCTCACTGTCTTTATCATGTAAACGTTTCTTCAAGAAAGCAAGCAGCAGCTGAGCATCGTCTGGTCTTAAGAGAAGAGCTGGTCTCTAAGCTGCTAAAAGGTGCCCCATTAACACAGTGATTCAGCACAATTAAAGTCGGAATTTGGTTTCCTTTGAACTGAAGAAGTAGAAATAATCTTGGAGGAAACAGTCTGATATGAGCACCTTTAAGAGACAAAATCATCTGCGAATTCTTTGTACCTCAAACAAGATGACAAATATGTATATTGGAGCAGCTAATGGGCAGCATTCATCATCAGCACCGTACTTTTTCATTGGTGTGAAGATATAAGCATATTTGAAATAAATTGTCTTCTGTTTCTCTACGTCAGTGTCACTGGTGATAAACAGGAAGACAGATCTGTTTCTTCAGAGAGTTTACTCATTGCAGACCAATAAGTGCAAAATCACAGAGCAGCAATGTAACCGTCCTATTTGTTACGGGGGATCATATTGATTGTATATCTGTACTAGTCGATACAGCTGAGTTTCAGTCATGACAGGTTCCACATGGGCAGCTATTATATCAAAACTGACTTGAAAATTAAAGAATTGTGTTGTTTTATATTTTGTGTCTTATTGTCAGTGAGCATGTTTACTTTGCAAGTTATTATTTCACAGTCTGACACATTTTGTACAACATGTTCTTGTAGAAAGTATCACAATGGTTTCCTCTCTATCTCTCTGACTTACCTGGGTTCTTCTTGTATTTCAGATTATCAGCACCTTTCATACTGCTGTTTGTATGCACCTTTGAGGCACATTTTGTCAATAAGCTAAACGTTTTTAAAACTGTAATCAGGAGGCCAACTCCAGATCTGCACCACCTTTCAGAAATCTGCACATTCATGCTATTTTCTCTTTCTGTTCAAACAGGAGAGTGTTTGATCCGTCGACATCAGGGTTCTACAAAGCCTTCACACAGGAATGACTCAGGAGAGGACAGGAGGGATCTAGGTTATGTAACAATTAAAGGTGAACACTACCTGCTCTATTGACCCCCCTCTCACAAACACATTCTAATCCCTCAGTGTTATTCTGGGGATGTCTTTTTGAGGACGATGAGATGTAAACAATTCACAGATGGCTCTAGGGAGCAGCCTCGCTCTTATACACCTTGGCTGTGATGCTGAGGATCCCCTGTCCCTCCCCTGGAGATCAGAGGAGAATCTGGTAATAGGCTGCTATCTGTGCGTCAGTAAGCAGCAGCGGTGAAAGCGGGAGTGCGCCTCTACACTCCGATCAGTCCGCCTCCTCTGACACTCCCTCCTCAACCCAAACACACCATCATGTCATGTACTGGTATGGACTCAGCCTCGCAGGTTATTTCGCGTGTTGATGTTGACTGAGATAGTTTCTATTGAGTTGCAATCATTTTCTTGTGTCTGAGACTTGATTTGCACACAGAAACAAGAGGGAGAACCGCTTGGTAAGTTTATATATACTTTAATATATTTTACATGGGGTTTTTGCATTTGAATATGTACGTGGTATTACTCCAATTTGTTTCATTTACTATTGTAATAAATTATAAATTAAAACATGACTCAATCCAGTTTTTTTTTTTAAAAGAAATTTACCGGGAATTAACGCATGGGAAATAATTTTATTTGACAATCTATCTGTATTTCTTTATTCTTTTTTTACTCGATAGGATCGTTTAGATTTGTTTGTTGTCGTTTCTCACATCGGACTGTCTGATCCATGAAACATCACAGGTTTCTTCAAACGGAAAAATAATTGGCTATTTCCCCTTTTCACGCCGGGTATCCCGTTGGGACGCGGAGCCGCACCACAACTGAATGAATGCAAATTCATTAACTCTGAATAATAATATATAGGATTACCAGCACGCTGGCTAATTCCTTAAAAACGAACTAAATTTGTTATTACTGTTTTTACCACCCTCAAAAATATTATTCCAAAGATAAATAATTTCTAACGGTATTTTTAACATTTTGATTGTTCTTAGTTTTTTTTATATAGGCTACAAACGTGGGGTTGTCTTGTTATAAAATATGAAAATACGATATAGGACTTGATTGTTTTGTGTGGGGTTTTGGGTACATTCGACTGAGAATGTGCCATGAATTTCATGAATCGGGGGAGTGCTTTCACTTCAGTTTTACACCACAGAAACTACCCCCAAAAATCTGTGCTTTACTTCAAGTTTGTCATATGATTTACAAGAAATGCACTTTCACCTGGAGGCGATTCCCCTCCACTATCACCCAAACAGAACTGAAATGAACTGCTGACATCCAGGTCAACAGTTCTAATGTATTTTTGGTCTTTAACCACGGGCCACTGACCGACTCAGGACTGTTGCATTAGTTACAAATCCGTCATAGTTATTATATCTGAACTTTTGACCTGAATATCGCGTTTTATTGCAGTGATTTTGATGGAATATTTTTCCTACACGTGATTTTGAAAGAGAGAAATGAAAAGTAGAAGAGCACCCAGAAAAGATGACTTCTTTTAATTACTGTAAAGCCACGAATTCTTAAAAACAATGACTGAAATTCACAGCCACACCCTGATACGCCCACAGAGATTGTTTCAGCTTTGATATGACTGACACTTTCCACCCCCATCCCAACTCTTTTACGCACACGTTGCCAGCCTGACACTTGCACTAGGCCTGCCAGGTGCTGGGGACTCAGGTAGCCCAGTGACTAGGCTGCTCTTAACAATGATCTGTTTCTGTCTGAATTCAGCCTGCACTGGATGCTGCCAGAAGAAGTTTTTTTTTTATCAGAAGACACCGGGCTTAAAAATACCTTTTGTGATTCCTGAGGTGAAGGAAGACCGCCCCTTGAAAAAGCAGTCTAATTTGGAATCGAAGAACGCAATCGGCCTCTATCACACTGTCAAAACGAGAAAAGAAACCATGCTCGGCGGAGAAGGAGAGAGCAGCACCTTCTCTTCTACGAAGGAAGTGGTGGATGAGAGATGCAAGTCTCCGGCTGTGGATGGGGAAGACCCGACTGCTGGCAGCAGGTACACAGAGCATGGGATGGGTGCTGACCGGTACTACATCAGTCCCACGGCTTCTAAACAAAGCCCCGAAACGCCGAACCCTTGCTCTTTCATCCCTTATACCCACAGTGGGACGGTGTACACCCCGTCCAGCGCTGGCAGGTACTCCGCATCTCTCCACTTGGGCTCCGTGTTGCCTCCCGCGGGGTTTCCCCCCTCCACCGCCGGCCGCACTCACTTCAGCTCGGCTTACCAGCTCGGGCAGAGCCCCGGCTGCATCTACCCGCCCTACACTGGCTCAGGGTCCGCTCTTAGCAACATTACTCTACCCGGCGGCGGCCCGGGGATGAGGGCCCAGGTCTACCTCTGCAACCGGCCACTGTGGCTCAAGTTCCACCGGCACCAGACCGAGATGATCATCACCAAGCAGGGCAGGTGAGTTGGCAGGAAAAGACAATGAAGAGGATGTAACTTTACCTAAGAATGATTGTGATATGGGAAATGAAACCATACCTCAGTTCACGTGGGTGGCATTTTTATTTTCTGTAAGAAAGATCTGATGTCCTTGGGCCTTAAGCATGATAAAAGATATTGTTTATATTCCAATACCTATTATTAAATCTATATTTGATTTTTTTTTGTTTTGTGTTTGCAGACGGATGTTCCCGTTCCTCAGTTTTAACATAGCTGGTCTCAACCTGACAGCGCACTACAATGTGTTTGTGGAGGTGGTGCTGGCGGATCCGAACCACTGGAGATTTCAAGGTGGCAAGTGGGTCACCTGTGGGAAGGCGGACAACAGTAGCCAAGGTACTGAAACAGGTCGATATTTGACAATTGTTCACATTGAATTTTGTGTCATATATGTATAATTTACCATAATATTTTAAAGAAACTTTCAACTAACTGAAATAGGAAAATAGTAAGATTATCTCTGCCTAATTGGCAGATTTTCTATTTTTATTTGCAAGAATTAAATAATTCGATACAATATTATGTTTTTTTAATGCATATCTTTTGACATATGGGTGTGCAATTTAAAACCCCTCTAGGCAAGACCATTAGAGAATGTAGCCCAAATTGTCTGCTTAGGGCTGACTACAGGAGGTTGATGTTAGTGTTTATTTCAGGGAACAAAGTCTACATCCACCCAGAATCTCCAAACACGGGGGCCCACTGGATGAGACAAGAAATCTCCTTCAGCAAACTGAAGCTCACCAACAACAAAGGAACCAGTCACAATACTTCACAGGTATGCCAAACCAGTAAATAAATAAAGCTAAACGCCTTTAACCACCTCCGAGGATTTAAATAAATTGTATTAAAATTTCAGCACAATTTTTCGTTGCATAATAGTTTTACGTAAGTATTACACAATAGTGTTACATAAACCAGGAGCACAGCTGGGGGTCATTTTCAATTTTATTAAATTCATGTTTGGAAGGAAATTCATTTACAGGCTCTCACATGATGCTTTAGCTTTTTTTCTCAACAAAAGGTGTGCAAACGAAATAAAATGAATTACACTGTGTTAAATCGATGACGCTATTGTTTAAGGCAGAATCGTTTTTGTGCCAGTAGTTCTAACCTTTTGTAGAAAATTACGCACGCACAAATTCCGTTTCGAAAATTACAATTTAGTGCTTAATTTAAAAAAAATAATGGATGATTTATTTATTTTTATTTTTTATTGTTCATTTGCAGATGATTGTCCTGCAATCGCTGCATAAGTACCAGCCAAGACTGCACATCGTGGAGGTGACGGAGGATGGGGTGGAGGACATTGGGAGTGACGTAAAGACCCAGAGCTACACCTTTCCAGAGACCCAGTTTATAGCTGTCACTGCCTACCAGAACACTGATGTAAGCATGAAAAACTTCTCCTTTGTGCCATGATATGGTTTCTATTATTATATAGACTGCTTAGACCAATATTCCTGCTTTGTACGTATAAATTGCATGTTACATATTGTTTTGATCCATTTGTAATTTGTATTCGTTAAAACTCTTTGAATGGACATGAATTTAATTTTTAATGTTAATCAGCTGTGTGCCATTTCTTTGTATAATTTGACATGTATATGGTTAATAAAGATGTAACTGCATGATGCTTCTTTACATGTATTATTTCTTTTTCTTCACTTACCAACCTTATTCTTCCCTTTTAGATCACACAGCTGAAAATTGATCACAATCCGTTCGCCAAAGGGTTCAGAGATAATTATGATTCGTGAGTATTTTACTTCAATTGTCATGCATTGCTTACCGGTTATAAATTAGTATGAATATCACAATTTTACAGCACAGGAATATCAAATAATATGTTGTATTGCACCCACTGTCTTACTGTGTTGTAATTTTCTGTTTTCTGTTGTTTCACATCTGTGAATCTGTTTTCGCGTGTGAATCTTGCTCATTTTGAAAGACATTTTCACACCACGATTTTTTTCACAGACTTTCCTTGACCTCAAGTTCATAAGTACATGTACTTTTTCAGTATGTACACAGCTCCAGAGCATGACCGCCTCACCCCATCTCCAACCGACTCTCCCCGTGCCCACCAGATTGTCCCCAGCGCCCGCTACACCATGCAGCCCCTCTTCCAGGACCAGTTTGTCAACAACCTCCCCCAGAGTCGCTTCTACAACAGCGAGAGAGCAGTGCCACAGACTAACAGCCTCCTCTCACATCAGACAGAAGACGGAGCTTCGCAGAGGTGGTTTGTCACCTCAATGCAGCAAGGAGGAAATGGCACAAACACAAACAACAAGCTAGATCTCACACCCTATGAGGGGGAATACTCAAGCTCCCTGCTTCCTTATGGGATCAAATCCTTGTCCATGCAAACATCTCACGCTCTCAGCTACTACCCAGACTCTCCTTTCACCACCATGTCTGCAGGGTGGGGGTCCAGAGCAGCATACCAGAGAAAGGTTACACCTAGCTTGCCTTGGTCTCCTAGACCCAGTCCCACTGCTGGTTTCCCAGAGGACTCAAACAAAGTTAAACCACAGATAGAAGAGGAGGTGAACGGCAGTGCAGGCCTGATCTCCTCCTGGACAGAGACACAGTCATCAGCTCTGTCCCTAGACAAGGCCGAATCTTATTCCACAGCCTGCAAACGAAGGCGCTTGTCTCTGAATGGTCCCAGCACAGAAGACTCACCTGCTGACATCAAGTGTGAGGACTTGGCCTCTGCTGCCACCAACAGTAGCTCCTATAGCAAAGAAGCCCTCTCATCCAAAGGCATGGCAGCTTACTATTCCTTTTACACAAACCCTTGAATGTGAACCCTGAAATTGTATTTGTATCTTATTTTGTCCTTTTGTTTGTTCTTCATCTGCCACCATGAATAAGAAATATTATTTTTCTTTTTTGTTATGTGGACACCCAGAATTTGGAATTAGTTTTGTCTAAATGGTTGTTTGTTTTTTTTAATTATGTGGTCACAGGAAATATCAAAGAATCAAAAGTCAAGGTGTGTATGTGGTGTGTGATAAGCATCGGCATCCTTATTCCATCCGTTCTATACAGTCCATCTTTATATTTTTGAACAACCCATTTCTGTAACTGTATCTGGAATTTTGAAAGTGCCAAAGCATTTGTTTAAGATGCCCCATATTTTCTAACAGTGTTATGTATGTTTCATTGTGCATACATTACTGTGTCTGCCTTCACATTGAGGTTATGTGTTTACAGATTATTTATTGATGGCCTGTTGATATGAAATTTGTGCACTCATCAATGTGAGGATAATATGCTGTACATACCTTCATGGCAATGTTGAGATATTTGATAATAAAAGACATATGTGTTCTATTGAATATCAGAGTGATTATTTCAAGTTAATGCACCTTTGTCCGTAGAGCATACTGTACATATGATAGGCTGGGATTCACATTTAATATTGCATTTGTTTGAAGTATAAATGCATCAGTTAAAGACTGTCTGTAATTACTCACAAGGTTATGTTTGATGCTATATACATTATGATTGGTTCATTACACATAAGAACCACAGCAAGCACAGGAGTGTGATGGATGATACCGCCACTTACATTCAGCTGACACAACTTTTAGACTGCTATTTGTTGTCTTTTGTCATGTACAACAAATGCAAAGTCAACACCCATTCAAACGTTCTTATTAAGATTAAAACGGGACCGTTCAAAGGATAAAAAGCACAACTTCATGTCAATCAAAAGCAGTATTTTTTTTCTCGTGGACTCTGTCGCACTCTAGTGGCATTTTATTATACTCACAGCAATACAATCAGTCACCACAGTAGCCTGTTGAGTTGAGATGGAACTTCAGTATATTTGACATAACACTCACTCAGTTCAATTTCCATTGTATCCAGTAATTAATAATAATTAGACCATAACAGTTTTTTATTCTTATTTTTAATTAAAGAAATATGGATATATATGTATACTTATTTTTTCTGTCAATGAGAATCTCTAGATTTGGCACACGTTGAATTGGATAGGTTTGTAAGTCCTTCATATTCCTGTCTTCCTCTACAAACAGGCACAATTAATATATGAAAACCAGGATAAAGGGGTTTTCCAAAAAAACAGAACAAAAAAACACACACTTTACATGTGCAAAAAATTCCAATGTTGTAACCTCAGGATCTAAAACGTAATCAGTTGCGTCGGTGTGTGTCTTAGCAGTATGTTCAGTATCCAGCCCCACACACAATGCCATCGTTTTACAAAATAAACCATATCCCTCTCCGCCTGTTTCGGGGGTTGTGCTGAAACCTGGCAACCCCCGTAGCAGCCAACGGAGAGTCAACGGAGAGTTGACAGGAACAACATCACTGCGCCGAGTGCACACATTATTTATGGGTTGCCTCACTTAACAAGAAAAACCCTTTGTTTATTGCGCTAGCGAGTGACAGTTAATTGAGAAGAAAGGGCATACAACAACGAGATGTACCATCTGTGTAAGTCTGAATACTTGTTACTCATTGTTTACTGTGAGTTTATCAACTGTGCTAGCTAAGTTGGCTAGCAGCGCGGTTAGCTTGCTAGCTGACCCCCTATCGTATGCACTGACGTTAGCCAACGCAGATGGTAGCGTCATGATGTTTTTATGTTTTTGAATAACACACAGCTAGCAAGCAGTATTGTGTATTGTGATTAAAATAGTCTCTTTTAACAAACGGCAAGGCTTGCAGCTCACGTTATCTAAGGTCAGTTGGCAGGTGAGTGTTTTTCATGAAGCAGACATGTAACAAAGCGTTCATTAACACAACATACTGCCGTCGGTCGGAGCTAGCGCAAACGGTAAACACCACACAACATGGGGAAAGGCCTGCATGAAGGAGTTTAGTGACAAGTGGCAAGCTGCGCAGACAAACTGTTACATTTTTATTCCCATAGCCGCCACTGTTAGATGTTGCTTGGCGCTGTCGTGGAGAAGTCCCGTTAACAATTGTCAGGTAGGTTAATTAGTTATATATTTATCGAGCACTATGTGTTACCATCTATGAGGTTATATAACCCAAGATAAAGTGTTTACAAGTGTTCACTAGGGTGGGACATTGTCTGTTTGTCTTTCCCTCTGTGGTTATGAGGCTGTCTGCCCTTACATGGCACAAGCTTGACACAGATTTAGTGATGCAAGGCAAGTTAGCTAGTGCCACCTGGTTTTCATTATGTAAATGGTGTATACTTGTCTAATACGTTAGTGGTGTATGTGTGTGTGTGTATGTGTGTGTGTGTGTGTGTGTGTGTGTGTGTGTCTGTGTGTGTAATGTAGTCTTTATTCTTGGATACAGCTACTCTCCCTGGGGTCCACACACAACAAAACATAAATAGAAAACAAGACACGTGTTAAAACAAAATTAAAATGAGACCATATACAGACCAGTAAAAGGCAAGTAAAATAAAACTAAACATCTCAACACATCCAGTTACAGTTCTTCTTAGTTGTTCAGGTCAGTAAATAACATTAGGATTATTATTGTGTATTTAAAGAAATCTTTAACTTGCCTTACTGGATGCTTCAATTAGGATAGCTGCTAACTTGTTCCACATTGTGATGGCTCTACACATTACAGGTCTAAACACTGCATCTGTTTAAAGTTTTTGTTTAACTAGATAACCCCTAGTAGCCTGCCTGGTAGTGTGACAGTGTTTGTGTCTCACATCACATTTGATGTAAATGTTGTTTTTTGGAGGGGGCCATACTACATGACTTGTCGTGAGATCACTGTACTGTCAACACTACATTACAATCAGTCTTTTAATCAGGAGTCTTGAAATACCAAGCACATCATGTTTAATTAGGAAAGTAATTTAAAAACATGCACAAAGGGCAACCATTTACAGCATACTGCCATTTGAAATTGCGTATAATAAGTTGTAATCAGTACATATTTTATTAAACCATTAGTCAAGCTAATAATTAACAGTCAGTGTCAGACAACCTTATCCTACTTTAGCTGTTACCTAGTGATTCTGTAGTGGTGACAAGAAGAAGAAATATTACATTTGAACGACTCCTTACGTGTCCGCAACAAACATAAAAAACACAACCTAAAGTGCTTTATGTGTCGACATTCTTTTTATCAATTTGGCATCAAAATAATCCATAAAGATAAACTGTATACCATACAAACTGTACATTTTGTCGCCTCAACTCGCCTAGCCTCGTTGTTTCATCTGTTACCAAGGGAACTACCTAGTTTGCTGCTTCCTGCCTGGTGCTGGAGAGAAGCTCCTTTCACTGGCTGTAGCCCTTGGCATCCGACATGACCAGATATTTTGCCTGCTAGATATTTTACGGGCATCAGCAAGCTCTTTGAACAGTTCGCACATGGTGATCAACCTCACAGGAGCAAGTGCCGATTTGCTTCTGATCTAGGGGCAGTTGTCGCGATTTCCCAAACCTCTCTGCGTGTGGGAAATCAGGGCTGAAATCATGTAGTGTGAACTTGCCATTATTACAAGTCTGTTACAGAGAGTAGAGTGAGGAGGAGCTGATGTCCCATCCTTTAGTCCGACCGGCCTCCGTTCCAAAATGTATGTTCTCATACAGGATTTCAAACAGGGCAGGATGGAAATTATAGCCATATTTTAAACTAAATGGGTATCTGCTTCTGTACTGTTACTGATTGTAACATGTGAGCACCTGATAACTTTACTAAAGATATACATTCAGTTGCCAGTTTTTTAGGCACACCTAGCTAAAGTTGAATCAGCAGCACCTCTCTAAAACATTTTCAACAGAAACAGAACATCATAACCTTCATGAAAGTAGGATTTCTTGTAGGACTGTTGTAAAAGACATCAGTTATAGCAAATGAGTGTATAACTGTTGCTTTGGTAGCATTAAATAACTTAAGTCACAACAGCAGTCTGATTGTCTACATGTATGTACATGTTTTTTTTTTCTTTTTCTTTCACTACTTAATCTGTTCTTGTTGTTTGAGTATGATGTTGAAAATTCCCCAAATTACAGTGAGTAATACGTTTTACTAGAAACTGACCAAACATTATGAAAATGAGCTGGCATTCCCAGCTTTTCCACTCCTATCCGTGACACACACAGTCACTTATGTAGTTTTAGATTACTGATATTGTGTAAAGATTAGAATAATCTTGATTCTGTTTACATAAATAATAGTCAATTTTCCTGCAAGTGGATTGTCGACATTTGTGTACCATTTCTTGGAGAGTGAATATGTCGGGCATTTGGTGTGCACACTTGAAATGTTTTCAGGGAACAATTTTTCCCTCTGTTGTGTACATAACTTGCCTACATCAAGGCAATGAGTTGCATGGGGAAATTCATTTATGCTATAGGAGATAGTCTTTTGTGTAGCTGACCAAAAATACATAAAAGCATCACATTGCTTAAACAGACATGACCATATGGTGCTCTGGTGGAGGCGAAATGCTGACTCGCTGCATGTTGCTCTTGAGTAGTGGATATCTTGCTTCACAATGACTCCTGGCCTCAGTGGGATGGGCAGCATTGGCACGGAGAGGCGGAAACTCCTGGTGATGCCAGAGGAAGTCTTGTCCTCCTCTCTGTTTGAGCTTTGTTGGCGCTATGTTTCGTTATTCAAAACAAAAAATAAAAAGAGAAACCCAGGAAAGTAGTTTACAGTGCATTGGGGATGCTGACACAGGGGCTTGTGGCAGAGCAGCCTGAGCAACCTTGGAGATGCAACTCTCGTCCTTGTGATCCAGAGGGAGTGGTAATACTCAGTAAGACGCAGGGTTGCTTTTCTTGAAATAGTGGTGAAAATATTTTTGGCTTATGGGAAGAATCAGCTTAAGCTTTTAATGACAGACAACCACCGTCACCATTTTTTTCTTTGTCCTTGTTGGACTCAGCCATAAAGGAACTTAACCCCTATTTTTCTACTTTTCTTCAGGACATTCAGTATGCTGGCCTTTTGGACGTGAAGAGACTGAAGACAACTTGAGTCAGTGAGACCTTGAACCTACGTTAGGGGAAGAGATGGGAAACACAGCGACCAAGTTCCGCAAGGCTCTCATCAATGGGGACGAGGTGCTGGCCTGCCAACTGTATGAGAGCAACCAGCAGTTCAAGGAGGCTCTGGATCCTAACTCTACATACGGAGAGTCCTACCAGCACAACACTCCACTGCACTATGCTGCCCGGCACGCCATGACACGCCTACTCAGGTCAGAATACGGCCCAGATAAAATCAAACAAGCCAGCAGACATAATGTACAAATTCAGAGTTGCATTTTTTTGGACTGGCTGTTGTCAGTGAGGGGGAAATGTCTGTCTTAAGGGTTGATAGATATTCATTAATTCAATCATTATTCATATTTCTTATGTGACATTTCAAGTGTCATTGTTTATTTTATAGGACTGTGTTGCTGATCAGCTGGTCCCATCTAGTACTGTATTGCTGCATTGTAAAAGAAAATATTTCATGTTTTGTCTCTATATGTCTCTGTCCCATCTGTCTCTCCACATAGCCATCTGTTAGCAGCTCTCAGGAATGCAACATGCTGGGGTGGAATAGGATGGGGCTTGAAGAGCTTCCCATCCCACAATCTATCTCCAAGCTAATTTTGCATAGAAAAACAAAACAATACAGGCTAATAATTGTAAACCCTACTAAGATACGTTCTTGACCAAAGCTGAAATAAGTTAAACTAAAATGTGCTCGCTTGCCCCAGATATTTATACACACTGCCAGATAGGGGCCATTGAGCAAATGTTTGAAATAACTCTTCCTCTTGCCCCTGTCTTATTCTTTTAGGTATTTTCTCCTAAGCAAAGATGGGAATCCTAACAAGCGTAATGTACACAATGAGACATCTCTGCACCTTCTCTGCATGGGGCCCCAGATCATGACATCCGAGGGAGCACTGCAACCCCGGATCTCACGGCCATATGAAGACAAACAGCGTCGGGCAGAATGTCTACAGATCATCCTGGCATGGACCGGAGCAAAGCTGGACCACGGAGAGTATGAGAGAGCGGATATCAATGCCATTGACAACAAGAAAAACACCTGCCTGCACTATGCTGCTGCCTCGGGCATGAAGACTTGTGTTGAGGTGAGATTCCCAAAATCCTGTGGATATTTTTCTGTAAAGGCTAATGTAGAATATTCTCAAGTATGACACTTTAGGTATAGATCAAAGGCTCCATAGATTCAAACTGAAGAGCGTCTCTAGAACAGGAAGTTATTTGAGTGGAAGGAAGATAAAAGGGGTCAGAGTAACCCTGATGTTAACAGAAATTATTCAATGTCTGCCCTTTTCTACTATAAAAACTTGTAGAATAGTGGCTGACAATAATTTGCATGATCACATCCATTATGTTAAGTTAGATCAAACCACTCTCTTGTGAGTTTTGGGAAGATGCCATGCTGCACAAAACACTTTTATTAATCCCTGGGGCAGGAAGCATCACAGATATAAATTATCTGTGTCTCTTAATATCTGCCTTTGTAAATGTCTGAGTTTAATTTTGAAATGGATTTTGTATAGAACCTAGCTGTGTAATCCCCATGATGAAGGATTTAGGATAGAATACGAACAACCACAATTATCAGATGGATTAAAGTACGGTTTTGCAACTGAGTGTAGATAATCAAATTGTGGTGCATTGTATCATGCATTTCTATGATTCATAATTAATAGTTGTAGTGTATTGTTTTTTTCTTTAATTTTATTTCCTCTGAAAATGAAATTTAAAGCAATCTTGTCTTATTTAATCTATATACTACTAAGATTAATATCCCTTATTTTATTGTTTTGTATGTTTCTTTTGCATTATGAGCCTCTGGGTTGAGTGTTTTAAATAGTACCTGAAAAAGTAGTATAATGGTGTCCAGTATGATGTTTCTATGAACTGTTTTCTTATGTTTTTATAATTGTCTTGCATGCTTACGGGTGATCTTAATATCTTAATAACCTTGTAATTTCAATCTTATATTCTGATTTTAGTTTGACTTTGTAACATCTGTCCAGGGACAAAATAGCCACACTCCTAGTGTGCTAAATAAATAAATATATATAAATATGTGTATTTGCAGAGTTTAGATGCAGGCAGTTCTGTTATGATAGAAAGAGAGAAAGCCTAAATAGAACTTTGGAAAATGTAGTAAAAAGCAAAGTGGAAAAGAATTAATTTAACAAATGCTAGGGAAGCTCAAATTGCATATTCATACTTGTGGGAACACTTTTTTCTTTAAGTGGTCCTGCACAGCCATTGCCATTTTGAAAGAGCACTTAGTTAAATTTTTCGTGCCACAATATAAAAAATCAGAAGGACACTTTCTTTCTGTTGCTACTTTTCAGAAAGACTGTTCCTCTAAAAGTGACGGAGTGAAAATGTATTAAGTGCAAATTACTTAGGGGTTCTGAAACAGAAATTGTAAGTAATGATCACAGTACAGTATATATAAGAATAATTGGGATTAGCATTTCTGCAATAATTGTATAGCCTGCCCCATTATTGAAAGCCAGATTTTCCTCTTGTTTTCACCCTCTCAGTTCCTGGTGCAGAGAGAAGCAGACCTGTTTGCGGAGAATGAAAACCGCGAGACTCCATGTGACTGTGCAGAGAAGCAGCACCACAAGGAGTTGGCCCTGTGCCTGGAGTCGCAGATGGTCTTCTCTCTTGCCCCCGAGGCAGAGGGTATAGAGGCGGAGTACGCAGCCCTTGACCGAAGAGAGGTACAGAATAACATACAAAGAGATACAGCTCTTAATTTGTCACCCTCAACTGCTGTCGCCTACAGCATTACCAATACCAAACTTCTATATAGTCCCTATCAAAAAAATCTAATGAAGCTATAGCTGTTGTTGTTGTTGTTGTTGTTGTTTCAGATAAACTCTTTTGAGTAAGCGGCCCTAGACCCACTCAGGTTTAATTGTAACACTTATTTTTCCTTGAGCAACTTTTTTAAATGATAATCTCTATGCTTAAGGTTAATTAAGTATTTAATAGGAGGGATATATTTTGTAAGAGCGGAAATTTTCATAGAGTTTGTAGGTCTGCTGTTTTCTCTTGGAATCAGAGACTATAAGTCCAGTGTTTAGTGTGTTTAGTCCCCCCCCCCCACACACACACACACTTCACATTGCAGATGCTTTGGTTAGACACAAACAAACACACAAAGGAGTCAAACAAAATAATCTGTCACAAGGCATGTGACTCCTATCATCATCAGTGTGTTAGCTCATTGGGCCTGACTCATGCGTCAGGAATCGTCTATATTTGATTTTTTTTAATACTTGTTCTCTTCCTTCCTTCCCCTGATTTCACCCTCTGTCACTCCCTCAAATCTTTCATTACTTTTTTCTGCTAACCTGCCCTATTCATTTTTTGCCACCTTACCTTCCTTCATTCTCTCCTCTTGTATTCTCTTCTTGTCATTACCCTCCATTACTCCTCTCGTCTCTGTTCTTTCCTCTCCCATGCCCTCCTCTCTAGCTGTATGAGGGCCTGCGGCCTCAGGATCTACGGAGGTTGAAGGACATGCTGATAGTGGAGACAGCTGACATGCTGCAGGCCCCTCTTTTCACTGCAGAGGCGCTGCTACGTGCCCATGGTACTATTAAACACACACACTCACGAAATCGCACACATGCGGTATCTGCTGGTCCTTAAAATGGTAGCCTAGTAATTAAAGCAGATCCTAAATATCTGCAAGATCTCATGTTTGATTCTGGCTAGGGACCATTGTTGTATGTCATATTGTGTTCTCTCCCCATGTTTCTTTTTTGTACACTATGCAACAACGGCAAAAAAGCTAAAATGAAAAAAATGCACCAAAATTCAAGGCTATACACAAGTATTGCTTTTCAAACAGAGCTATGCTTTAAAAAAATATTCTTAAATTTGTCTTGTGTTAAATTGTTTAGGGATTAGAGAGGCCATATCTCAAATAAACTTAACGCTTCCTCACAATCAGTGGCAAGATGTGAACAGCCTTTTTTATTTCACTTGTATTGCTCACAGTAGAGAGTGTCATTGTCACATGCTCTAAATGCTATTATAGTGAGCTTGTCCTTTCCACCAAATACACTGGTACATCCACAAATTGCAGTACTTACACACTTGGCATTTACTGTAAATAAAACTGTCCACAACACAACACACAAGTACACAAAAAGACTGAACCATGGATTAATATCTATACATATATTTTTGCCTATATTGCTGTTGCAAATGTAGGTTTGTATTACCATCGGAAAAGAGTTGTATCTCCCACATTTGCCCTTGTTTATTACTAGACTTTGTTCAGTCTCATTCTGTTTAATAGTGTGCAGTGGAATGGTGCTTGCTTGAGCAGGTCTACATCATACATCATGACTAAAAGTATGTAATACTTGTTAACTTATTTTCCTAAATAGACGGTAGCTTAACATCTGTCCATCAGAGATACATTATAGCATGCTGACACTGAGGTCCAGTGTGTAACATTTAGGTGGACCTGTTGGCAGAAATGGAATATAAGAATCGTTGTGTTTTTATTATTGTAGAATGAGCCGTTATATATATATATATATATATATATATATATATATATATATATATATATATATATATATATATAGTGCGAGTGATTCCTGTTCTACGGAGTCAGCCATTTTGAAGCGCCATGTTTCTACTGTACCCCAAAACAGACTCTAGACAGGGCCTTCTGCGTTTTTTGCACGTTTCATGGGCACCGTAGTTTCTCTTCATGCTTGGAAGAGAAGGCTCTATTTCATTGGTTGCAATCTCCAGTTTCACTGCCATTGAATCCTACACACTGGTACTTTAAGTAATGTAAAATGTTAGCAAAGCAAATGAGTATGTTTGCAAATTTAAGTGTTTGCTTTCAAGCAAACAGTTTGTCTTTGCAGTGTAGATTTAATCAGAGAAGAAATGGAAAGTGTGAGATTAAGTGAGTAGATTTTTAAGTTGCCTTAAATGTGTTGCGTGAAGTTTTGGTAGCTATGAATTTAAATGCCAATTTATAAGCTGTATAAAGGGTATGAGTGTATAATACATCCACTTTCTAAAACAAACATTATACACATACACATTAAATACAAGCCATACACTAAACATAGGTAATTGAAGCAAACATTAAAAATATAGACTAAAATATTCTTCAAACAAACATTATGTACACATCCACACAGATCAGCAGGAATACAGTACAGATGATTCTGATGGTATGATTCTGTCCTGTCGATGTAAAGCCATCACATTGATGGCTTTACACCCATCGACGCATGCATCCAAGAGGTGTATGTTAGCAGCAGGCTAAATCAATGAAAGCTTGTGAAAGAATTTCATGTAGCTACATTCTTCATGTCCGCAGACATCAGTCACCTGGCCTGAATTACTCCACTGATGCTCGTAAAACATAGTCTTGGCCATGTACTGAGTAACAGTGTCAAGGTTTTGATTTGATCTGCAGCCTTAAGCTACCAATTGTCCTACTAACTTCACTTAATCTAGCTAAGATAATGTGTATGACAAACTTCACATGTTCAAAACAGCCTTTGAAAACCATTACCCCTCTTAATTTAACTTGTCTTAGATTAAGTTAGTAGAGTACTTCAAAAAATGTCACAGTTTAGGGTTGATTTTCAGTCTTTTAAATACTCCATTCATTAATTCAGTGGGCTGAGTGGCTGGCTGTTGAGATGTGTGGGCTACATATTAGACATACTTTTGGGAGCTTAGAGGGGACAGTGACCCCAGATTCTTGCTATATATATTCACCTCTATCTTGGGAATGCTGTCTGTCTGTTTAATAGGGATGGGACATTTCAGGATTTTTGGTAATCTCATGGAGAGAAGTTTTTTGGGATTTATATATAATTGATTTCTTCTGAAACCTTTAAAACATTTCCACACTTCCTAACTTATGTATTTCCATATTAGTCTTTTTCAGTTTTCTTATCACAATTATTGGTGCTTTCCTATTGAACTGCCAGCCTGTTAATCTGTCTGTGCTTCTGAAAATGTGTATTTCCCTGCTAATTTTGGATATTTAAGACTCAATGTGAAGACTTTTAATTTCAGACTTCTTTTTAATGGCCAAAAGCATGACGATAGGGTCATATTCATTGATGGGTTTTAATTGAATGGAGATGGGGGGAAAAGTTGCAATATTCATTATCTAAACGAGGCCATTTAGAGTCTGAGGCATTTGATTGGTGGTGAAACGTGTCTCGGGGCTGATAATGACCTAATTGCACAGTTGACCGGGTCATGTTCCTTATTTTAGGAGCGTACTATTTCGTCAGAGAAAATTTGGATTCAGGCACAGTCCTTAAGTCATACAATATTTATACTGAAAACCTCTCAAACCTGTTCTTGTGCTAATGTGAGATTGAACAGCTATTCTAAAACAGAAAACCAGATGGCAGCAGGTCTATGTTGTTAGCGGTTTGAAAGGCTTAGGTACTAGTGTTGGCACAGAAGTTGAATTTGTGTGGGCTTTGATGGATTCAGCATGTGCTTAATACCAATTCGTACAAATATAAGACAGGATGGACTGGAAAAAATGTTTTTATGTGAATACATTTTGCGTGAATGAAATGAGAATTTAGTTGAGTCTTGTTTCATCAGATTGAATGGTGACAGACTTTCATGATCCATAAAATATCACAAAATACACAATTAAGCTGGAACTATGCATGGTTTGTATGCTTATCACATGGGGCGTGTAGATATATACATAAAAAAACATTAGGTGCTTTTGTTTTTGTTTAAAAAAAATAAATTCTTAGCATTTACCTCTTGTTAAGTATGTCTGCACTTTTTTGCATCAGATTGGGACAGAGAGAAGCTCTTAGAGGCCTGGATGAGTAATGCTGAGGAATGCTGCCAACGCTCAGGGGTACAGATGCACAACCCTCCTCCAAGTGGCTACAATGCCTGGGACACCTTGCCCTCTCCTCGGACGCCACGCACCACCCGCTCCTCCATCACCTCCCCAGACCAAATCAGTCTCATGCCTACGGATGAGGAGTCTTCTCTGGTGAGAGATGTCTCTGGGTTCCCTTCAGCCATAGATCTTCCTTAATATAATTGATGCTAAGTCCCACAATTCAGATTGAAGTGGTGTTTGACCAAAAAGAAGTTGGGCAGATGCCTTCAAACTCTATTTTAGTTTTCAGAAATTGCAGGTTTAAAGGTTGAAGAAAACTTTAATTATTTTAGTGATGTCTATCATTTAACTGTACTAAGTAGTGAAGAACCATTTGAGCCCCAGCGAGCTGCATGTTTTCCCGGCCAAAAAGCTGCTACAGCAGTATAGGACTGAGAATAACTGGAAGTGTACTCATAAAAACTGTACACTAATGTTTATTTAAATCAAGTCCCTACGGTGGCACAGATTTCCTGAAGTGTTTCTGCTGAGTCCTTTAAATTTTCACTGCCACACCTGTCTTTCTGCATAATGTTGCATTACTTCCCAGCATTATATTGCTACCAGCCATTAGCATTCATGCCAGTGGTCTCCCTACAATCATGAACACAAGTAGGACTTCCTTTACTCCTAGGAGAACAAGTGGTTTGTTAATTGGGGCTGAAGCTCAAGCTCTGAACATGAGAGAATATTAAAATACTGTATAAATGTTATTAGTGTACAAAATTCAGCTGTCCATAGGCCAATTAGTGAAACTATCAAAAATAAGTTGACAGAACATCCCATTGCAACCTTCTGCTTCTGTGTCAAACATGAATGAATTAGTAATCAAACTGAGACCTCCAGATTTGCTTGTTCAATGTGGAAATGTCACGCTCACCGTGCTACACCCTTGACAGGATGCTGAATCTACAGAGCAGAGGAAATACTGAACTGGCCATGTTTATGCAAGGCTATAAGTGTCACTGTAGCTGCTGGTGATTGTTTTCATTCTACAGCTAATGTTAACTGGTATCAAGTGCTGTTTGCAAATTAAAAGTTGAGCACCTTGTAACTATAACAAAGATGAAACAGGAATTTTGTTAGCTTGCAACAACTGTAGCTCATAGAGCCGTTGCTGTCAAAATGTCATGGAAGCAAAGTTTACACTAGACTTTTATTTTTGCCAGCCGATAAAGCCATTAATATTCCAGTATTCGGGCCAAATATAACAACTACAGGACATCTGTTTTAAATAGCCATATAATAGCCAACGTTTAAACATCAATAATACACAAAAAACACAAACGCTGTGACCTAAATACATAACTGTGACAGAAACAGAGAGGGATGAACAGCACATCGTAGATGAACTGTTCTCACTTTCTTGCTCCCAGCCTCGGTGTTACAGTACATGCAGGAAAGTTGGCTGAACTCCTGTTTAAACAGACAATAGCGTCACTACGTCTTTTTTCATATCTTCCTCTACCATGCTGTGTGATCGACTTTTCAGCTGACAGCACTGTCAGCAGCTGGCAGGAGTGAGGCTCTGTGCTGCACTGAAGCCCTGCTGCTTCAAAGAGAGCAGTTCGCTTGTTTATTCAAAGTTTATTCATGTTGAACATGTCCCATGTCCAAATTGCACCAAATCCGACACTACACTTCCTTAGGTCCCCAGAAATACACTCACCAAGTGTGAAGTCAACTGGATGAATGATTGTCGTGAAAAGTGAAGAACACACATACTTACACATAGGCTTCAGACAGAGACTACTTGGTGAATCTCTCAATGACAGTAGAGGCAAAAAACATGTTTGCATATAAGTTTCCATTTAAGTTGTCCTTGAAACATATATTTTAGGTCACACAATATAAGGCTATTTAGTATGCTGTTAATGAAAATATGTATTTATTAGTATTAGTATTATATTTAGACAACTACACATGATATCGGCCAAAAGCCTGCATTTGCCGGCAAACGTAAACCCTGCATGGAAGGTGAACCTGAATGTCTACAAGGTTAATATGGAGCCTTTTTTGATCCCTTGCTGCAAGAGGGTCGACACCCCCCTTCCTTAATTGCCCTCCCATTATCCTGACCTTGTCTGAGATTTCTGACATTATCCTTAGCAGTCTTCTTTGTGAGCAGTTGTCAAGATGGAAATTGTGTAAGGGAATGTGAGATGTCCTTTACACTGCTGGGAGTTTGTCTTGTTTGACCACTTACTATAGAAGACTGCCAGTGAAGGTATCAAGTGTATTTGATAACAATCAGGGCGTCCCAGAAGAGGCCGGGAGCATGAAAAGGCAAAGTCTTGTCTTGTAATTGTTGCTGAAGTTATTTCTTAAAAAAATATCCAGGTGATTTATCAGTTTATTTCCACCTTTAGATTTCAGTGTAGAAAACTATATCATAAGCTTTTTAACATAGCTCTTGTTGTGACTTGTCGCAACGGCATTTCCTTGGCTATAACGTATATTTGAAAATGATATACACAATAATGGTGGAAAGCTGATGCTTTCAGTAAATCCCTGCTACAAAGGTTATGCATTAGACATTTCTAGAATGTTTTCGACAGCTGATATTGGGGACCAGGAATCGTTTTGGATGAATTGTTGAACTGGTGATTTGTCCTTTTTTGTTTAGGTATGTGGACTTTACTGTTGATTGACAATAGTAAAAGCTGACAGACTTGATTTATAAAGTACTTTATGAGAAATTATAGGTTGTGTTTGTCTGACAGTATCTTTTGTCATGGCTCTGAAAGGACCTGCCTTGAACTGCACTGTGCCAATCGACTGGGTCTACTCAAGGGCCCGTTTAAAGGTTACAGTTGATTATATCACATTCTGCTCTTTCGCAAATCAATACTTACATTGTTGAAGCACACTGCCTCCTTTATGTCTTTTGTTAGGGTCAGTCTTTCACTGTAACAAGGCGTGTGTGTGTGTGTGTGTGTGTGTGTGTGTGTGTGTGTGTGTGTGTGTGTGTGTGTGTGTGTGTGTGTGTGTGTGTGTGTGTGTGTGTGTGTGTGTGTGTGTGTGTGTGTGTGTGTGTGTGTGATTTGTTACTGCTTGTATCTTTTTGTGTAAAGTTTCTGTAGATGTGAGAAGACAAAATAGTAAGCTGTGAGATTTGTGGTAATGGGAGGTCATCATCTTGGCTTGGGCAGGCCTTTGGCAGTGTTTTTTCATAAATCAAAGACCACCATTGTGTGTAGTTAACATACACTGACATATCATCTTATTAAAGCATAGTTTTCCTAACCTCATCCCATTGAATATTAAAAATTAGGCCACCTACACCACATTTTGAAAAGATGGCCCAGTTTGCCTATTCTCAAGATTCCAAGGCCGTATGTGTTTTCATTTAAATCGTGCTGTAATAACGAGTACTGTAGGGCCTTCTGAAACAGAGTTTTAAGAATTAGAAACCAGAAAATTGTGTTTTATGGCAGGCTTTATTTATCTAGACTGATTTGAGACTATTTTTACTGTGGCCCTAAGACAAATTGTATCTCTTTTCTTTTGTGTCACAGTGTGGTATCTGTATGTCTTCCATCTCCGTCTTCGAGGAACCTGTTAACATGTCCTGCGGCCACGAGTTCTGCAGAGGATGCTGGGAAGGGTAAGTCATATTTTTTCTGGCCTGCGGGTCAGATCAGTGTGTACCTCATTTCTCTCTAATTAACTCTAATCTTCACCATTTTTCTGTATATACTTAATTTCATTGTCTGCAATGTATGTACCGGTATGTTTCCTCAGGTTTCTAAATCTAAAGATCCAGGAGGGTGAAGCCCACAACATCTTCTGCCCAGCCTTTGAATGCTACCAGCTAGTGCCTGTGGAAGTCATTGAGAGTGTGGTATCGAGAGAGATGGACAAGCGTTACCTCCAGTTTGACATCAAGGTACTGAGATGAAAAGAAAAAGAGAGATGTGCCTCCCAACATAATATTGAGATAATACTGCCACCTTCAGAGATAAACACATGGCTCCTGCGATTGAATTTCCCTTCAGAGTAAAGGCTTAACTGAATATAGACACTAGTTGGCTGACATGGAAGGACACAAAGAGGGCAAACATTGATGAGAATAGAGAGATATTCTTGAACTTGAAAGCTAAACTGTATAGTTTAGTTGAACTGAATAAATCCAAAATTAAGTGGTTTTTACTTGGAAACAGATTTTTTTTTTCTTTTATTAATTTTTGCCAGATCCCCCCTACTTCATTAGCTTCATTCATGTCTTTTTAGATTTCAAAGTCACTTGTAAGTGCACTTTTGCAACCTTTAAAAAGTAAATTGGCAGCAAGCAGAAAAGGATTGTTTCACTGATCTCGTCTGGTTGAAACTTTCAAACCGGTAACAGAAAATGATGTGTTAGAAATAAGTGAAAGACTTACCCTAACTAAAATAACCCTAACCCTTTTGAATTGCAGATTGATTTTAATATTCTCTGTTTCTTCTGTTGACAGGCATTTGTAGAGAACAATCCAGCAATCCGCTGGTGTCCTGAGGCAGGGTGTGAAAGGGCAGTGAGACTAAACACCCAGGGCCCTGGGACCTCCTCCTCAGACCCATTTAGCTTTCCCCTACTTCGTGCTCCTGCTGTAGATTGTGGCAAAGGCCACCTCTTCTGCTGGTCAGTAATGAGTACTACAACATATACGTGAAAATGTGAACATTTCTGTAATTATGTGTATTGTAGTTTAAATTTTGACTTTTTTGACGTTTTGATTAGTCTGATTAGAAGCCCAGACATGAGATTCATATTATACTATTATATATATATATATATATATTATATATTAAATGTGGGGTCAGTCTTGATTCTTGAGTCTCATTCCCAAAGACAAACTGAGAGCATGAATGCCATCTGTTGTGTTGTGTGTCTTGCTCCGAGCCACTTTGTTTGTTTTCCATTTACTATATACCAAAGTGTCAGCATTTGACGTCCAGGGAATTGTACTCTGCACAGCAGCTGTGGCTCAGAGGTAGAGCGGAGCGTCCACTAATCGGAAGGTTGGACGTTCGATCCCCGGTTTTTCTCACTGTGTGTCAAAGTGTCCTTGAGCAAGACACTGAACCCCAAATTGCTCCCCATACTGTGCATCGGTGTTTGAGTTTGTATGAATGATTAGTTTCCGTTCTGTTGAGCAGTTGGCACCTTGCATGGCAGCCACTGCCATCGGTGTATGAATGTGTGTGAATGGGGTGAGTGTGGCATGTAGTGTACAGCGTGTGGTCGAAAGACTAGAAAGGCGCTATATAAGTACAGTCCATTTATCATGTACCATTTACTCATCAATTAACTATCTTTCTTTAGAATGACTGAAACCTGCCTTTAAGTGTATTTTCCAAAATGTTGAACTATTCCTTTAACTTGTAGTAAATATACACAAATTCTGTTAAATTGCTTAACCATTTTGTCATCATAGAATATTTGTGCAGATTGGTGCACAAAACAAATTTAATCTGTCCGAAATGTGGAAATTACAAACGTGTGTGAAACTTTTTTTAATACTGTATACGCCCATATGCACATGACGAACTGTGCCCTTGCGTTCCAAATGATGTTTGTATGTGTTTGTTTGTTTGCATGGGTATCCATTCATTTTCTTTGTACATGTATTTGTAGCTACTCATGTTATCTCTCTGTGTATGTGTTGGCATAACAGCTAGCTCAAGGGCAGAAGGGCCCAAATGCTGTGTGCTCCTCCACCTTCAGTCCTATGTATTCATACTCCAGAGCCCTGAAGAATGCCCTAGCAGCTCCCCCACTGCCATATCACCATCTCCACCACACCCCAACCTACACTGCATGCCTCACTGCACCTCATCTCACTATGTGCTTCTTGAAAGTGGCCATTAGGTTGACTTGTCAGGTTTACTCAAGAGTTGACATTACATTGGAAGTGAATGCAACACAGGTCCAACTTTTATAGTTCCCTCGACACGAGGAAGGCATATTGGTGAAAAACAGATATGGCCAATTGATTGTGGTTGACAGTTTTGACAGCATCTCTGACAGCACTGTGATTTGTGTGTTCATCATTTGTCCTAATTTTATGTATAGCCCAGGGACAGAATGGGAGCTTTAAATGGTAATTTCAACTGTCTGCGTCACCTTACTCTCTCTGCGTTTATTCCAGGGAATGTCAAGGCGAGGCCCATGAGCCCTGCGACTGTGAGACCTGGAAGTTGTGGCTACAGAAAGTCAATGAGATGAGACCTGAGGAATGTGAGTATTGATATTAATTTACGTATATCTAGTTTTTGGGTGTGTTTCAAACATGTTACAGCTACAGCTGTCGGTGTTACAGCTGAATTTAAAAAACTGTACAGCATTCTGAATTAAACTTGTTTTAACCAACCTATCCCCCCTTTCTTTGGCCTTTTTCGGGTTGAAGTCAAGTGATTGATTTAAAACTTAACTGCCTCAAACTCAACCCCAGTAATTACAAACAGTTTAGTGCTAAGCCAATTAAAATCCACCATGTTGATGATAAATTATTAATTAAAATGAACAACCCACTCATTGAAAGTTCACAATGTTTAGAAGCAGTAATTGGACTGTGGGCAATCTAATAGATGATTTAAGATGGCCCAAGTCGCTCCAAAGTGCCACTTTGTTGATGTGACAGTTGAAAGATAAAAGCAATTATTTTGTTGTGGAACTATCTTCCCCTTCGATTTCCCCAGATTCTGTTTTATCTTGGCATTTCAAACAGCACATCAGAGGTGCTTTGATAATAGCCAATTATTCTGTTTGTGTGTGTTTTGTTGGGGGTTGGGGGGGTACATGAGCATCTTGGGAGATGTTAACAAAATATATAAGCAATGCACATTAGTCAGGCAGGACAATTTCCCACTCAGTGCAGTGGTCTGTTTCAATGCTGTGTTAATAGCCATTCTCATTCTGTCTCATTATGCCTTTATTTGTTCTGTTTACCTCCCCCTTCTCCTATTGAAGTGGCTGGTGTGAGCGAAGCTTACGAGGATGCAGCCAACTGCTTATGGTTGCTCTCTAACGCCAAACCCTGCGCCAACTGCAAGTCCCCAATCCAGAAAAATGAGGGCTGCAACCACATGCAGTGTGCTAAGGTACGTTGACTTACCTGTCTTACTAATTCAATTTGTAATTAGGTGATTCTTTCATTTCAGAGGTTGTTCTGACCAGTATGTTTTCAGTTATTAATGAGTAGATTGTGTTCTGATTGGGCAAACTACCTAAATGAACAATTCCCAGGTTTCACACTTAAACATTTAAACATAAATAAATTGCCCAAATATTTTTGTTTCAGGCACATGTGACCTTAGCTTAGTGGTCAGCACAGGGATTTTGATCAGTTAAATGGGTTAAATTGTATTTAGAACCTTTAAGCAGCTTAAGAAATTGTTTTATTGTCATTATGCATAATGACCTCTTTTGACATGACTACATTTTATGTAGGCGCCAGAGTCGCTTAAAAATTTGGCTCCATGTTTGTATATTGCTTTAATATCTCAATTATTAGTTAGCGGGAGGGTGGGCATTGGTGTATAAGTGTAAGAATAGTTTACATGACTGACTGCAGTGATATGATTGACAAGTATTTAGGCTATGAACTGTCATCAGTGTAAACAAAACATTAGGTGGAATAATTAAGTTTGTGTACTGAGACACCCTTAAGCATAGTAACATTATAAGGCATAACTGCATTGTGCAACTGCATCACTATCTAAAAGGCAACACTTTGGTCCTTGTCAAGATATTCATTATCCTCACGGGGGGAATTCTAATGGTTCTGGTGACCGTCTTTATTTTCCTCCATGCCTCAATGTAAAAGTTAGGTTCCCCAAGGCTTTAACTGAGGCTTGGGTGGGAGGGAAGGGAAGTTGAAGGCTCAGTTACGGCACACATATAATTTTAGAAGCACACAGATGGTTGTTGTGACATAGTGAGAAACTCTTTAAAAAGCTGCTACCTTTAAACTTCTGAAGCTTTATTAAAACAAAAGATCTAAAGTAGTGGCTAATTAAATATTTTCCTGTAGGACAGGTTGTTGTGTTGTAGCACTATTTTGGATTGTTCTTTGGATCCTCCTTAACTTTTAACAAACATCTCACAACGCTCTTGATGAATTTGCTCTTGGTTATGTTTCTTTTGGGCAATTCTTCTTCGCTCATTACACCAGACTTTCCAGTGGCTGTCATATTTCTACAACAGTCTGTCAGGTTATAATTTACACCTTGGACCCATCTGATATAATATTTATGGATAAATAATTGAGTACCAAAAAGTTGTTGTGTGCGCTAATCACGTTATTCTCTAGACATGAGCAAGTAAGAAGCTCTCTGTTACTGTAATGCAATTGTGAAGGTGAAAACGTGTCTAATCACATTCAAGCTGCTATCAGCCATGTTTTGCTATCATCATAAAATATTATTTGTTTATTAGAAGTGGCAGCTTAGGATACTATCATGCTCATGAACAATCCATCAAACATCCAATGTGTCCAGTAGTTAGTCAGTGACATGTCTCTTATTGAGATGGACTAAAGAGACTAATACAGAGGTGATTGAGCCAGTCAGTGGAGGGAGAGTGTGAGACTGATAATCACATAGTCGTGTTGCCTGACAGTGTCTCTGTTGCTACCACTGTTGCTGGAGGGCAGGCCATGAAAGGAACACAGTGCAGTCACACTACCAGGCTCCTTTTGTCTCTGTGACAGCACTTTCACTGTCTCCACCCTGGTTAAAGAGTCTGACTAGAGATGGAGATTAGTTTGGGAGGAAGGGAGCAGCTTTCACAAGCTGAGAGGCCATGGAGGGCCCAGCCTCTTGACCGGTTATTACCTGGTAAGAAATGGCTTCACCCCTGTTGCTTGGAAACGCAGGACTCCGTGTTGCCAAGGAACATTTCTTTGTCTTTTCATTGCCATTTCCTTCCCTCCGGTCTGGCTTCACACTTTTTTTATCTTAAATCTCTCCATTTCACACGCTGTCTTTTTGTGTGTCTCTGTCCTTCCATTCATCCTCCCTCCCACTCTTTCATTTTGTATTGATTTTTCTGAAGTGTCAGGTAAGCATGTTATTTTCAGGACAACTGAGGTGTTAGCCTTTAGGGTTTTGTCTTGCTCTGGCTAACTTGTCACCCACAGAAGTACTTGTGGCACAGGGAAAGAAATCACTTGCACCAAAATAGGCTGCGGATTGGAGTGGCTGTAGGGTTTTGTTGTTCTACAACACCCATTGGGACTTGCTGATCTCAAATGTTGTCTGAGTGCCTTCTAGTGGCAGCAGGCTACAAGGATTCACTGCAGGATTCAAACAACTGCATGTGACTTCTTTTAAACTCTGCCATTTGTAAACAAAAAAAGACAAGTCCTAGATTAAGGGACTCTTAAAGATATCCTTAATTATAATTCTGTTATGATGTTAAGAGTGGTAAAAAGTAGCGTAAAACATCAATTAATAGGCCAGGCTTTTATTTGATTTAATCACTGAACTCAACCAGCCTTTATTTGAAACAGGCCTCTATGAGACAGGCCTTTAATCCTTTCGCACAAAACTCTTGCTCAGCAAATTGTTTATTTAATAGTATTAATATTACCAATCATTCATTTAACAATTTGATACTTGAACTGAAGGATTGAATTGTGGAGAATCGAACTGATCTAACGATGGGTAGCAAGCTTTAAACATGTATATGCGTGTAGGCGATCTAAGCAGCTTAAAACTCCCTCAAGCCAGCGACCAGGTACTTTCATACATCCAAAGAACTCCTATAAAGTCCAGAGCAGGCCCTTTAATTGAGAGCTGTGTTTATTTGTCAAAACATGTAGCCACACCAGGCTAGTAAAGGAGACCTGCTTCTATTTTGGACCCTGCTTTTAATAAAAGTGTTATGGTATATACAAACAGATTTTTTCCTTTCTGAATCGGTTCAGCTGTCATATTCTTAAAGGTACATGCTTAACAATATTAGGAGTTAAATTACCTCAGCTGAGTTGTGATGTTTTATCAGTCTTTTTACTTTGGCAGGAATAATCAGCTTAAAATAAACCAACTGCGTGTGTGTGGGGGGAGAGGGTTGATTTTAGCTATCATTTCACATACCACTTGTGTTCTCTGATGGCAGTTATAAGGTATACAGTGATATTCTTTTAGCATTAGTATTTGGCTATCCAGTTTTGGATGCAACGGCTGACCAGAGCGTATTATATTACCATTCTTGTCCTTTAGTGTAAGTATGACTTCTGCTGGATCTGTCTGGAGGAGTGGAAAAAGCACAGCTCATCAACAGGAGGCTACTATCGTTGCACCCGCTACGAGGTCATCCAGCAAGTGGAGGAGCAGTCAAAGGAGATGACTGAAGAGGTACACCTCAACATTGATTAAAACCAAATATCCTGGAAATATGTCACTCCAATCTTCTAGCCTACATACATTTAGGTGTGTATTTTGTTTGAAGCTTGACTGTTGCTTGGATAAGCTGTGCGGTATCACATTTTAAAGCAGAACAGACTTGCAGCTACGAGTCGAGTCAATGTGATGAGTTCTTCAAGTGGGAACCCTGTGTTCTTTCATATAGCAAATATGCTGGAGGGAGCAGAGCTTGAGCTGTTTTATATTATATTTTAGTTCTAAATGTTAACACTGTTGGACTCAAAATCAATGCAGCAGAACAAAAGATATTGTCTTTTTGTATTCCAAACATCTTCCTTCTGTGTCAAAGCTTAGCACCTACATTACCCACAATGCATCTTGTCCACCGACAGTTGGATTGAAAATGCTAGTTGTTGGTAATGTAGCTGGAAGCGTCTAGCCTCAAGCAGAGATAAGGATTTTCAAAGTTGTAATCTTCCTCCCAAATCAATGCTGACTAAGGTGACATCGCTTGAGGCAATTTATCAGACTTCACATGGCTCTATCTGGAGCTGCAGAAGTACTACTGCATAAATGAAAATAGTTGTATAACTTTTTTGACATATGCACTCCTCAAGACCTTCAAATTGTGTAAAACCAATGGATGTCCTTTAAACATAGGACTAATGGATTACCACAGCACACTTAACATTATAATATTGATATAACTGATGAATACATGATATATACATGAATACAACATACAGGATTGTATTAGCATGTTGATCCAAACACACACACATATATACATATGCAAACAGCCATGAACAGTACTTGTCTTTTTGTGCTCATACACTCTAACAGGAAAACACTTGAGTCTATGGAGCTTACATAAGCAAGATGGAAAACGCACAAATACACACACAAGCTTTGTCTAGACTCTTGACCGTGGAGCATCCACAATCAATCCCACCTACCTTCAACAAAGGTGAAAAAGGTCATTCTCCGTCATCTTTTGCATTCCTCCCAATCATGAGTACTGATTTCACCTGTGACACTACTCACTTACTTTGACTGCTCTCAACCAGAGTACCTACACTTTCCTCTGTGAGGGGGAAAAACATGTTTAGGAGTTTATTGACTGTGACTGCTGTCTCATCACGGGTTTTGCAGGCGGAGAAGAAGCACAAGAGCTTTCAGGAACTCGACCGTTTTATGCACTACTACACACGCTTCAAGAACCATGAGCACAGCTATCAGGTAAACACGCCTGGCTTTGCCTTCCAATGATGTCTGCTTTGCATAGTATACAAACAGACATGGATGTAACCAGTCGGGACTTGTCATCTAGTGTAAACCTGGCACATGACCTCTTAAATGGGCTATCTAATGCAATATACTGTAATATGATGAAAGTGGTATTTTTCTATATTCTGTACAGCTACAATATGAATGAAGTCTGCTGCTTCCACCTTTCTTAATTTATTTCGCCTCATATTCTGGCATTTGTTTAATTTGTCGGGCAGTCATCTCAAGACATTCACTCAACAATAAAACGTAACAGCTTCTGTCTTCCTCATAATAGCTAGAGCAGCGCCTGTTAAAAACAGCCAAAGAGAAGATGGAGCAGCTCAGTCGAGCCCTGAGTGGAAGTGAGTGTGCAGTCTGCCATAACAGTGTCCATCTTCATTACACATTCAGACACATCTTAATCTCGTCCTCTGATATTAAGCTTTTGGAAGTAGGCAGGAGGGAGAAACACACAAAGGTGTTTTAATAATGTATTTACAACAGTGAAAGTTATGGCATAGTTATTATTCAGCAGGCATGTCCAAGTTAGCAGAAAGCTGTCTTTCTCTAGAGTCCTTCAAAGCCCCATCTGTACAGGCAAGTACAACCTGTTTAGCATAGCCAAGTTTTGTTCTGATACACAATTTCACTAGATTCAGATTGCAGTGGTGTTACTTACATACATCTGAGGGCCAACTGATGCAGAAATTCATGAGCCTGGCTCAGTTCAAAGTTTGCAAAATTCATCTTGCACAAAACATTTGCAAACAGGGCTAATTGTCCAAAAATTGCAATTACTATTGTGGATTCAGATGTGACGTTTTCTTGTTTTCAAAAGAGCATATCACAATTTGAGCATGGCACTTACCTTGGTTGTTTTACCTTCACAAGCTGTAAAAGGGAGATTTTCATTTAACTTAGGCTGGAATAAGGGGTGTATTCTTCAAAAGTAAAGCAGATACTCATTTTTGTTATCTGACTCTCACTCTCTCTCTCTCTCTCTCTCTCCCCAGGGGACGGAGGCCCACCTGACACTACATTCATTGAAGATGCGGTCCTAGAACTACTAAAGACTCGCCGCATCCTCAAGTGCTCTTATCCATATGGGTTCTTTTTGGAGCCCAAAAGCACAAAGAAAGAGATCTACGAGCTTATGCAGGTTTCAGTCCTACTTCTTCAGAAAAAAGACAAATGTTCACAGCAGCCAGTTTAATATGGGCAATTAGAGGTGTGGGGTGAAAGCTTTCTACTTCAAGATCTTCACAATCTGCTCTAGTTATACCTGCACATCTCAGCTTTTAGATAAAGATCTACTGTTATGAAATTTATGAATGCTGGTATAGAGAAGTAATGTACTTACCTTCTATCTTTTATGTGGTGGCCTTTTAAATACTGTAAAATGTATGGGCAAGGCTCCCATAGGTCTTACATAAGGTCTTGAAGGCTTGTAAAGTAGTTACAGTAGCCCTAAAAGTAGCTCACTTGTAGGACTACTTCTAAAGTCACTTTGTCCTTGAACAACTCAGTTTTGGAACAGATTATTTTATGAGACAAAGTTAAACTTAAAATTGTGTATTCATAGTTCATTCAGTTAAAAAAAAAAAAAAAAATCTTCCAGCTAGCTCTCTTTCTGTCCTCAGACTGACTTGGAGATGGTGACTGAGGACCTAGCACAAAAGGTTAACCGGCCTTATCTGCGGACACCACGCCACAAGATCATCCGTGCGGCGTGTCTGGTACAGCAGAAGAGGCAGGAGTTCCTGGCCTCAGTAGCCAGAGGAGTGGCCCCCAATGACTCTCCTGAGGCCCCCAGGCGCAGGTAACATATAGACATGCAGCTCACTTTACAGTGAAAAGTATGGTATAACAGCACTGTAGTTTGAAATGATCAAAAGTGATTAAAAAGGGACTTTTCAACAATTACTAACATTCTTGTACTGACAAAAATGTCTCTTCCTCACTCACAGTTTTGCTGGCGGAACGTGGGACTGGGAATATTTAGGCTTTGCATCACCTGAGGTAACAGAACAAGGCTTCATTAGTTTCCAGTGAGGGCTTGTTAGTTATAATGTCAAATGTGTTGTTTGAACCCCACACTCAAACCAAATGTGCATGTGTCTTTTGAAACTGTACTTTATTTCCTGACAGATGTAAGATTTCAACTCAAATGCATATTTTTTTATTTGGGATTTTACATGTCTGATAATGTATATGAACAGATTAGAGGTGCCTGGTTATGGCTAAAATAATCACAGTTGTATTACTAAATATTCAGATCACAATCATAGATGGATTGACTAAAAATTTAATTGCACTTCAGCATGATACAGTGACAGAAAACTGCCTTTGACATATGATTTAATAAGTCTAACATCAATAGTATACTGGAAAATAACCATGTCTGAGGCTGAAACTGGTTAATCAGTGTACTTGAAACAGATACCTGTCAGATTGGTCAGCCTGTTTACCTGTCAATAGGGAGTGCTTGATTTGATGCACTAATGCTGCCACTAGGCATATCACACCTAATCAGGTTTAATTAATAGTAGAAAATGATATCATGATTATAATATAGTTAAATTATGCATCCCTACATTATATTTCATTTTATAAAGCCAGTGTGTATATCTATATCTTTTTAATAATGCTGTGTAGCAGTACTGACAAACCACGATGACTCAAAGATCACCATGTTATTCAACACACTGGAGCAAGCCAGATGGTTCAGTGTTCCCCTGTGCACCGAGTTGGAATGATTTAAAGTACAGTTCTCTGGCAAACACCTTAGCAGGTTGCTCCCAATCATTGTGCATTAGCGACAGGCGTTTGTAGTTAACTTTTAAAGTCATAAAACTGTCAACCACATAATGGTTTGATTATTGGCCTGCCTCCTTTTTCTGTACAGCTTGATGCATGCACTCAGTCCTAGTGCATAAGTCAATACACTGCAGTTACTAGTTTCCATTACTGTTTAGTTACTAGACTGCAGCAGTTCTTAAACATACAGTCTTTTCATCTGAAACACTCAGCTCAACAGCTCCATCACTCCTCAGGCTCTTAGTCTTGCGTCCTTCTGAAGTGTTAAAAACACGACACAAAAATGCAAATCTTACATCAAACCTAAGCCTCTCGGGGTATTGTGCACATCTTTTAACAGCATAAAGCAGGCATTTTCCGACTGACAGGAAAACCAATGACAAGATCAGTCTGTCAGTTTGATAAATTAATTTTGAAAATCCTCTGCCTGCTCAGCACCATGCAGTGAGGCATAGGTAAAGCTTTTTTAAGCCTCTGTTCACTTAAAGTTTACTGAGTGAACAGCCACAACTGGACATTCTTTTTAATCCAGACACAGGCACAGGATGTCTGTAATGAGTTCAGGTGTTTTTTGTTTAGAATTCTGCTAATCATAAAATGTGGCATTTTTTCTTGTATGTAGTACTTTGACAAAGTAACAGAAATCAGTTCCTACGTAATCCAGACAGATCCTCTGTTGTCTCACGATTATAAAAATATTAAGCCTACATGACATGATGTTTCAGGTTATCTGACCACTCACTGGTTGTTAGTCTGAACACACAAGAAAAGTGAAGGAGCAGTCAGCTTTTTGAAACAGACATCATTCCTCTCTGCCGTTCCACATAGGAAATTTATGTATGTTTATGTTCTACCACACTGTTGGTCTTAGTACTATTTATCTATTTAGTTTTGTTGACCATCATCTTTGTCAGACCCTTATGTGTATCTATTTGTTTACTGCACTGTGCTATAACATACGGTAACTGATTCTTAAGACGAATGTGGTATACAAACCAACTGACGCACATACGACCGTTTAAGTATACAAGCCACAAGAATATATTGAATTAAACAAGGCACACACTATAAAGATAATATATTATATTCAAAAGAACAAATTATCATTGTAAAACTCGGCTGATACGCTCCTCTCACCTCTACCCCCCTTTTAAATAACAGACAAGCCTGCAATATTCTATCAGCATGTCAATAAATTATTTTGGGCGTGTGTCTAAGAGGAAGTTAAATGTAGCCACCAGATGCTGAACACCATGCCATTCTAAAAAAGTTATTTTTTATTTTTTTTTGTCCCCTAATTAAGAGCCTCTGTCTCTCAGCTGCAGTAGTTAATGGGGGCACCATAGTAATAATCAAAGCCTGATGACTGCCTCACAGGCACAGCTACAGATGGTCTGCACCATGGTTCTTACAATGCCGGCAGATCACTTCATAGTGGGCTATTTTTAGAGCGGTGGAAACATGAAAGACAGAGTTTGGGTGACAGGCTTCTGATTATATGAATCTGACTCAATGACTTCTGCAAATGTATGAGATGATTGAATGGGGAAAGCAGTTTATTATTATTTCCCGAGGTATTGATATGCAGATATTAAAATTCAGTGTATCTAACCTTTTCATGTTCATCTAAAACCAAAGTATATAGGAGCAATGCATTTAGGGCTATCTTATGGACTGGCTGGTAGTGACATTCAAATTTACATTCAGTTTGCGGTTTATCACTACAGGTACCATCTGGTTGGAGAAGAACCCTGAAATTAAGATTGCTACTTTCTAGAATTTATTTCCAAAATAACTTCAGACTGGTTTGAAGTTAAACTAAGATGACAGATGCATGCACTGTATTGTTTTCCGTTTGACAGAATATATATGCAGGACATGGCTAAACTAGGTATATGCTTCCTCCTACACTTTGTTTTACTGGATATCTTTTAGGCTGCATTATATCAATCATTATTTGATGCCATCATATCATTGGATCTCAGTCATTGATAACAGCATTGTTAAATTAATACAAGGAACCGTCACACGCACATAGATATCCTATAATTAGAAACACGCACGTATGCGTACACACCTACTGCACTATAGTGCTCTTTTTGTAATTTGATTTAGATAGGCTGTGTGAAACAGTCTGTGTTAATTGATTCTACATCATTTAACCTCCCTGGAGTGACAATGTGCCAGAAATATCAAATTAGACTTTTTTTGTTTGTCATGATAATCGAAGATATTATTATCTTACAATGCAGAGAACATGCAGTATGAAGTAAGACTGCTTTTAGGCTAGTTAAATGTAGAGGTTTACATAATTTATAACCTGGACTAAACATGTATTTGTAATTCACTCAGTAAATAAGTATTTTATTTACTTTACTTTTTAATAACATAACTTTCAGGTTTGCCTTTATTAAACATGTAGAATTTCCAAACATCTGAATTTTAGTGCTTAATTTCTAATTCCCTTCCAGTGAGTATGTGCTCTAGACTGGCGCCTAATGACTGAGGGCTTGGTTTGGAGATGAAAGGGCTTGAATAAGTCTCTAGGTGCTGATCTTTCCTGGAACAGCAAAAGCAAAGCAGACTGCTTCACAACTTGAATCAAAGTTACAGATTTGACCTATGAAATGTTTAGTATCAAAACAAATGAAATATAAATCAAGGAAAATGTGCAGCTGTGATATGTTGATAATGAGAGATAGGGACATTCTGACAGGAGAACGGCAGGATAAGAGCATTTCTTTAAATGAAGCAATAGTGTTAATCGAAGTGTTTTTAAAAAAAATCTTTTTAAGGAGTACGCAGAGTTCCAGTACAGACGGAGACATAGGCAGCGGAGGCGAGGTGACATGTCCAGTCTCCGTAGCAACACACCCGACCCTGATGACCACAGTGACAGCATTTCAGGTACTGGAGTAGACATACAAGACTGTCTCTCAGGAGTTTCTAATCTTTTTCTTAGTGATGGACTTTCTTTATAGCACAGTTTTGCCTTTTTGTAATAAAACATCGGTGATGAACAAAAAAAAAAAAGATAACATGAATATGTAAATGTAATCTAGTGCACATGCCAACTTTTATAATCAATGATAAAATGATACATATCCATTAAATTAAACTACATTGATCCAGCCATCCTCTCTCAGATAGTGATACACTGATTGATACACAACCCAAATTAGGGTACAGGCCCGAACTTTGGAAAATCACAACTGCTCAAGTTCAATAAGCCAATATTTCTAATCCATCAGTCTTGTCCATCACCGTGCTGCTTTGTTTTTGGCTGTGTGTAGTGAAAGATGGATGGGGTTTGCAGTTTTGAAGCCAGGCAATGGGTTCTGTTGTGCCAAGGATTAATTAATTTAAGATACTAAATAAGTGAATTTCTGGGAAAAATGCTGAAACCATGTACTCTGCGAGGTTGCTATTACTTGATAATTTTTTCACTCTTCGCTAAAACTAAGATGACTTTCCTAAAAGTGGTAATTATCAATGGGTTAAATTGCTGTCGAAGTACTGCTGTAGCGATTCAGTATAATGACAATATTTTGACTGTGGGCGTCTTTATCAATTTCTTTTTCTACAAAGACACACAGGATGTTGGAGGTGGACGTCGACAAGGTCCTCTGACGGTGAGTGCACAGTTATCATTTTTACCTCAACTCAAGGCTTACAGCGTTTGAAACTTTTCAGACAATGTAAAAGAAAAGAAAACAGAATTACTGGTCAAATTATGATGAATAAGGAGTATGGACTCACCTGTCATCCGTCTAGTAAAATAAACCGATTTAATGAATGTACAAAATATGTATTTATCAGTGAGCCACACCATTCACTGGGTGACATTTTCCTATCAAAATGGACACAGCAGCTGAAAATCTCCTAGTGTTTGCTAAAACTACAGTTCGTAGCTGTTTGAGATGATAATGATTCTTTTTTGTTTTTTGCCTTTTTAAAAAAAATAATACTTAATAATTGTGAATAGGCTCGGGGATGACGGCCACAGTTGGGAAAGTACATACTGAAAGACAAACACAGCTATTCCTTTTGTTTGACCACAATAAAAATACACAATATCACAAGCCTTATCTTTTACCATTGTTTTTTAAAATGTAAAACCTCAAACGCACACAGCAAACAGCAGCAGCTATTATTTTTCTTGTCTGCAGGTGACACACAGCATGTCTACACCTGCAGTCCTAGCCTGCTGCTGCTTTGACCTTACTGTCCTATAGGTTGGGAAGGTTGGACTTGAACTGCAGGTGTGACGCTGCTGGTACTCTGTAACTGGATGATATTAGTTCATCCTGCATCGCTGACACTGTGTACTGTGTCTTGCAGGGTCTAGGTTCTTTGGATGACGATGACCCTAATATTCTACTGGCCATTCAGCTGTCACTCCAGGACTCAGGGATGGCAGGGAGTGGGTCCAGCCATGACGTCCTAGCCAACGAAGCCTCACTTGGTGCTATCGGCACCTCCCTGCCTTCTAGGCTTGAACAGAGTACTCCAGGTGTAGAGGTCCTCTCCAGAGCTTCCCTAAGCAGCTCAGAACTGCTGGAGCTGGGAGATAACTTGGCTCGACTTGGCAACATCAGCAGTCAGTACTCCGCTGCCACTGGTGTCCACACCTCTGTACAGCACTGTGACAGTCACCACCGTGTCTACAGGGCTTCTGTGCCAATACCAGTGGCTCAGGGTGGCAGCAACTCATCAACAGGCCTCTTCTCCTCTTCCAGTGACACGATAGATTCGACAACATGCGGCAGCCACGACCCATCTTCGTCCTCCATGTTGGCAGCAAATGCTAACCTGCTAGGCAACATCATGGCTTGGTTCCACGACATGAATCCTCAAGGTATCACCCTGGTCCCTTCAACCTCCTCTGACACTGACTCAAACCTCAGCGCACTCCATGCAGGCGGAGGTGGGTGCCTGCAGGATGATGAGAAAGGCGGGGCCGTCCTAGCTGAAAACAGGAAACCTCAGGAAGTGATGGCAGATGTGGGTTTCTGCTCACAGAGACTGAGCAACATGGAGGAGAAGGAGTGTGCTGTACCTGAGAGGCCGACCCAGTTAGATCTAGTGGGGCTTGACACCATCCCACTACCTTACATGGCCACCCTTGACGCAAGTGGAGACCATGCCAAACGGGGAGGCCATGTCGACACTCCGCAGTGTGACTCCATATCCGATCAGCTGGCCAGCACCAGCTCGTCTGAGTGGGAGGACCAAGTGCACTTGGTATGAAGTGATTGGCTGAGATGGGAGGGAGCTTTTTTGGAAAGGCCAAAAAAACACTATAGATTGCAAATTGAATATAGTTGAGGAATATTTGTTGTAGCTGTTCAGATGGTATGTATACAGGATGAAGAATGTGTTCATTGGAAAGTGGGGGAAGAAGTATTTAGTGTAGTATTGCAGTTAGATCGGTTATATGCATTTACTGTATTGTCAGTCCCCCAACAACCAGCCCTCCTGCAAAGAAAGTACTAACTGTAGGAAAGATTACATGTCATTACAATTTTCAAGGATATGTTTCCTAAAATAATTGTGCAGTGAATATGTTGCTTTCTCTGAAAACAATTTTAAAGGACATAAGAGATTAAGAGACTTAAGCGTAGTGCAGGTATTTGTTTTTTCCTCCACTGGAGTAAAAGCCTACTGTATGTGTCTGAATCAGGTCTGAGGGAGGTTTTTCAACTGTACATATGAGCAGATTAATATCTAGCTCCAGCATTCAATCTGTGGGGTACAGGCTGGAAAGTTGTCTCTTGCACCTGTCCAAATCTGCCTACTTTATAGGTGCCAAACACTGACGAGCAAAAAGCACAATTTGCAGTCACCAAGTGGATTCAAAGCAAGTTGTGCCTGCTTATTACAATCTCAACAACTCAGCTAAACTTAAATGTGAAAGTCTCGAGCCATATTTTTGTTTGAGATTGCGGCTGAGATATATTTTCAAATCTCACTATCTAAAAGCTGTGGTGTGCTGTTTAAATCTGTAGTGAAAGACCACAATGGTTTAGTACTTCGTTTAGTGAAACATTCACACAAAACAATTTAGATTCATTATTCTTCTAAAGAAAAGTTGGTGGCCTGCTCAAAAACATTTCAAAATTGAGAAGACAATGGTTATTCATCCCAAAGCCTCAGTCTCACTTTCAATGGGAAACGTCTTGTGATCTTCAAAAACCACAAACGTTGACAGGCCCAGAGTGGCTGCTCAGTGACATTCAGTTCAGTATGTTCTGAATCCCATTGTTGCTTAAATTAATGTTTGAGTACTGCAGCTGACTGTGGAGCATGACAGACTAAGTAGACAGTGAGTGGTCTTGTTTATACACTGTGGGAAAGGCCAGTGAAAGAGATAATCAGGCAATCACATTCAGACTTTGGTGAATTAATTAATCAAGCCCAAGTCACTGTAATTTATCTCTGGGTTCTATTTAAGTGTTAATGTAAGCAAAGCCTTGTTAGAGCTCTGCAGATGTCCCGGGCTGCAGGGTAATGCATGGAGAATTCATGAATGTGTATTGCATCTCAAACACATGGGGGGGACCATGTCTTTGAAACGGTTCTCTACGCATTTAGAGATATAGTGCCTTTATGTCAATCACCATTATTTAATTATTTTTCACACGTTTTTCTGAGTGCTAATTACACAGTATTTACAGTGTAAACAAAACAAACACCTGTTACCTTAAAGTTATTTCTCTCATAAAGTTTATAGTGGGCAAATATGAGATCTTAATTTCTTTTTTTTTCCATCAAAATATTTGTAGCATGAGGCTTTTTGTTGGTTCTAGTAGTATTATGTTAATAGTTAACACTGATTTTATATGATTTGGTATAATGGGTTAATGTCAAATTTCAAATCTTTTCCAAATATTTTTTATTTCTTTCATTTTTGTGTGCAGAAGGGCTTCTTGACCCGCATTTTGAAACAGTTGGTTTTTCTGTGGTTTAGAAACTAAAATCACTGTATTGACTTTGGAATGAGTTGACCTACTGTATGTGTATCATGTATCTTATCTGAAGACACTAAAATGGAGGAAAGTTGCAATATAAAGTAGGTATTTATTTAAAATAAATCTGATCCATTAAAGAAGATGGATTGTGAATAACCAATATAAAATGAAACACATTGATCAGTGTTTTACCTGTAAGACCTAATTATGTTTTTGCACAGACTAATGTCTGACTGAAGTAAGTTAGCTTTTTTTTTTCTAGCAGACGTATAGAGCCACATTAAACCTAAGGATAGTGATTACTTTAATAAGTGTCTTGAAGTTGTGAAACTGAGTGCCATAGGGTTAGGTGAGCTTGGTTAATGTATGTGGGTTAAACAGGATATAACATATGTGGCCCTTTTTGTGTAACAGTTTGCTGTGCATGGAATGGGTATAATGGAATTTGTACTTCCTTTGTATTTCACCAATACTGTCCAGGTGATTTATTTTAAAATGACATAACATTTTGTAACTCATTGAGGTTTTCTATTGTAAAGCAACTAATCCTTGAAATGCTATTTGCACTTTCATAGTCTATACTTGATACATTCCCTCTTTATATGAAAAATGTTTGATGTGTAATGCCAATAAACTGTGTTGAGTTTTAATGGGTTTTTTTTATTATTGTTATTGAGATACCTACATTCTAAGAAAACATTATATATTGAAGAGAAAGAAATCACAGCACCCACTTTTATGGGAGTGTTAGGACTGACGAATGATGTCCTTTAATGGAGTTGGTTTGGTTTCTGGTTTAACTACAGAACAAATGACAATGTGATCTTCCCAACAGCAAAACTGTATCAATGTGGCACAGATCACAGGATGTCTGAACTACTTTGCACATTATAATATTACTGCAAAGTACTAGTAATTGATCAGACACTTTGAATTTACTTTAAAGTTTCAGTTTCTTGCCACAGAAAATTGAAATTAGCACTTGAGTTAAAGCTAAACACATGAATTATAAGTAAAAATACATGCTAGTGTGGTATAAAAATCTAAAATATAGCAAAACATTTTGTACACAGCATATTGCTGTGCATACAAACACATCACATTCATCTCTGCTTATGTAAGTATGATGTTTGTGGGCTGTGAATCTAGATACATGATGTACTGAACAGTAGGGAGACTTGTCATGGAGGTTGAGTGTTAGCGGCAGAGCCTGATGAGCTGCAGCAGCAGGAGGAACAGGGAGACAATGTCCAAATAGAGGTTGAGTGCAGCAAACACGTACTCCTCAGGAGAGACTTCATACTTCCTGTGTTTCCCACCCAGGATAAGTTGGGTATCAAACACCAAATACTGCAGAAAGAGAGATGAGATGCTTCAACACTGAAGACAGCGTGTTAGTGTGATGAAAGAGACAGAGAGCCGGTTACAAGAATCGGTGTGAAAGAAAACATGGGCAGTATTTCTTTATCTTTGAGAGAGGGGACTGTGCAGATAAAAAGGCCATGTAAATAATCGTGTAGTCAGAGTTGTGCAGCTGAAAATGTGTTGTGACTTGCTGCTGACAGCCTGTTCAGCTCTGTGTGCAGTCGCAGTTTGTTCCACCAGCTGACTGGATGGGTCACAACATTTGCTGTTAATGCCAAAGGCACGCAGAGAGGTGGCTGTGAAAATGAAGCCTACTGCTGTTAAGCGGTGCATAATTGAAATTAAAGGGCATGAGGACATCAGAGTCTCTCTCTATACACTAACTACTGTGACAGTCACTGGAGGCAGGCTGCCTGGGCCTTGTACATCGCATTCGCTCACTTGACATTAAGCCATCTTTAATGATGGTTTCTTTCATTTTAAAAGGTCATTTTCAGTTTCAAATCTACCTGTGTTGCAGAAAAACATATTCTGTCTGAGTGTACTTACTAAAGAAAACAGCAAGGTTCCCAGGCAGGCGTACAGGATGTAAAGATACTGTGGAAAGAATCAGAAACACAAAATCAGCAGAATTATTGACTTTTTATTCATGTTTGATTACTTCTTTCACAAATCAAATATGGGTATGGGTAATATGTTGCTAAAAAAAACTATTTTACCATTTAGAATGAATTGGTTTTTTCTATCTAAGTATAATGATACAGCTGGCTTTGTGTGGACACAATAATTCAGCCTCACTGTATAACCCAGTAGCAGAAAAAGTAAATATGATAGTAAAGGCTGATAATGGGTGAACACTATGCTTTTTCGCTATGCTTTGTTTATTTTATTTTCCAGTCCAGTTGTGGTTGTGTAAAAATAGCAGTTTAAAATCAATAGTATTCTTATTTCTGCAAATTCCTTCCTTAAACACTAAAAGCCACCACAGTCTACAGCAGCAACTCCTGAGAGGTTTGAGAGTGCACGCTCTCCTTTGTAGTCTGCTCAGGGCACAGGTCATTGCCAGTACATCCTGTGGATAAAAGCTATGAGGCCGTACTATCTGCCTCTAACTGCACACCACTGCAATTCATTTCAAACATGTTCTCACTGCAAACATGGGTGTAAACACAGTGGCTCCTTGATTTACCTGCGATCGGAGGATTGCACAAAGCATGGCAAATGAAAAGATGGTCCAGGCAAACACCCACAGGCTCCCATTTGCTCCGGTGAAGTCCCACTGGTGCCAGAAAAGTGAGAAGAAGAGAGAGACAGTGAATGTGATGAGCCTTTTAAACAGAAAACTGTAGATAGAACATCTCTCTTTTACACTCATCATTGCCATAAAAGCCAGGGCGCTCAAGGTCGTCTGCATTGCAGCTGTGCTGTGAGGCGCCACAGATTACTAAATGATGAAGACACATTGCAGTCCAACACACAAGAAAATCCTAACGATCCTGGATATAATGATGCAGGATAATTAATCAGCAAGCTGCAACGCAGGCACGGAGGAGGAGAGGTGAGGTGGCCTTTTGGCCTGCATGCCCTTTTCAGATAGACTGAAAAAAGATTGCAGGACTACAGGATAATCACTAATACTGATCACCTGACAAGCTATGAGCTGAACACGCAAGGCTGCCTGTATGACATTTATATCACAGTGACAGAGACAAAAAAGCTCTGCACACAGTGTGATCTGCAGAGCAAGAGGTGCTGGATTCTGCAAAATGAAGACGATGAAATAAAAAATAAAACAAAACGGCTACGGTTACGGCCACTTTTTCTATTCATATCACAGTATTCCCATTCTACAAGCAACTTCAAAGCTTCTTTCTACGGGTTAATGAGCAGAGAGCATTTAAGGAGAGATATATTCTCAGTATAATCATTAGACACCTGCTTGCCTTGTCTTATCCAATCATAGCAGTAGAAATAAATGTCTGCAGCTCCTTCAGATGAAATAAGTGGCAAAATGTGTGAAATGCCAAACTCCATTTAGAGGCAATTAATAAGGACTCTAAATGCAATTTGAATTTGGCCTACATCTATTTCACTTGTCTAATTTTTTGCCCCACTGACTGTATGATTACTTTTGTTCTGAATATGAGCCTTTTATTGAAGCAGCATGCCAAACTGCCAATGAAGTGATTCTAAAAGTTGAATAAACCATTGCAACTTTTGAATGTCACTTACACAAGCAAAGCTATTTTATATGAAGTGAGTGACATCAATGGACACTTTGTGTCTGTACTTTTTGCAAAGAATAAAATGATGAAATGATCTGGGAGGAGAATCTACTTTAGGGTCCACTTTAATATCAGAGCTGCTCAATTACTGTTGTAATTTTTAGATTAGATTCTTAATGAGAAATCAAGAATGCAAGTCAACTGGATTTTCTGCCTTTTAAGTGTATGTGCATGCCTCTGCACAAAACGCACCAGAAATTACCTTTTCAATATTAAAATATATCTCAATGGACGAGCATCATGTATCCCTGAAAGGGACTTTTGAAAGATTAATCTTGTGTGTTTGCTTTATTAGAGTGGAAGGAAATACAAGATAGGAGGTATTTAGCAAATGACAAAAGGCTGCAGGCCATTTCTGAACTCAAGATTTATGGTATGAACCTCAGCCAGCATGAGGACAGCCCAGAGGCTTAACTCTGTCCCACCACTGGACATGAGGAATTAACTTGATTGACAAATACACTGATCTCAGCAGTAATCATGGACAGCAAACTCATCAGAGTTTTAAACCTTTGCTGGTGACAGCATATAGCAAACACTGCATGAGAAAGCCTGGCCAACCACTCAGCTTAACACTTTTCCTTTAACTGCACAGGAAACACAGCTCAGAATATGGACATTCACCACTGACTGCATAGCAGAAGTCGCCACAGTTTATGAAATTTCACTTTTGGCTGCCGTGCAAACTGAGTTCAGAGTGTGTGACAGATCATACCTTTGACTGCATAGCAAACAGAGTCAAGGCGAAGGACACCAGCGCTGTTGCCCCCACAGCCCACAGAACTGCTTCGGCTTCAAAGTACCTGCAGACAGAAATATCAAACAGATATGCAGTGGGAAAGACACCCCACAGTATCATGTCTACTACTAGTCAGCAGGCAGAGTGCATATAGTACATGAACAGTAGGGTTGTGTTCTACCCTAAAAGGGAAACATTACTTTCTTATAAGAAATTTGATATTTTTACATTTAATAGTCTGTATAATGTGTCTGATGGCAGGGACCCCCCTCTGGACGTGCATTGCATAATGTATTGCTTATTTCATTGCAGTTACAGTACAGCTTCAGTTACGGCAATGTCCTATAAATATGATAATTTCAATGTATTATTGATAGCCAGGCTTCAACTGATGCCTTTTTCTGTCACAGTGACAAGCTGCTAAAAAAGAAATGTCTCACAGATGGAAACAGTAACTCGTGTTTACACAGGCACCGGTACAGAAAAATTGGTTTTTAACTATTTGTAATGCTTCTGATTTTTCTTCAGCTGAAAAACCATTCTAATTTAGTAAACCAGCACTGATAACATCTTATCGGGTTTGATGGCTTCATAGCTGGCATCCAAAACGCTACCAGATATGCATCAAATAGGGATATTATTGTGTAAATGAGTCAGCATCAGGTGGGGATTTATCCTTGGAAACAAACACTCACACTGCCACAGAGCCAAGCATCAGGCCCTCTGCAACAGTCTGAGTGAGAGAGAGAGAGTGAAAGAGAGAGAGAAGGGGGGAGAGGGAGAGACAAATGGAAAGTAAATACATGACAAAAAATCTGTGAAATAGAGCAGGTGTGGTGGGGGTTTAATTTGATGCCTGGCTAGTACTGCTTCTACTCACAAACAGGCCCAGGGCGATGAAATTGAGGGGGACTCGACGGCGGATGTTGTCACAGCAGGACAAGACCACAATGAGCACTATCGTCACTCCCCTGTTTCACAGAGAATATAGAGTGTATCGTAAATAGCAAATAAACAGGCTATGAACAGAAAAAAGCACTGTGTTCAATATGTGAATCCACTGAGTGCATTATTTATGCACAGTGTAGCTGGCAGTTTCTTGGATTGAGAGTCAGACTGGGGTGACAGTTTGTGATTTACTTCCATGGAGTTCCAGGAGAGTAACTCACCACCAGGAGATCTGTAGGTGGTCAAATGAGTAAAAGAATAAAGTGTGCAGCGTCTAGACAATCTAACTGAATGGTTTGACAGCTTACATCATGGAGTAGGTGAACCAGAAGTTTTCCCATGTCCATCTCCTGAGATCGTACCTGTTATTCAACAAAAAAAAGAAAGGAGTGTTTAATAGAGGGACCATTTATTTCATAGTGGCAGTAAAATTATTATATTAAATATTAACAGAGGACAGGGCATTGTGCACATGGGAGCTGAATACAATTCATGAAAAGAAATGACTGCAGATGTGTTCAACCACATCCATTACACAAAATACATAAAGCTTTCAAATTACTGCAAGCAAAAATATAATGTGGCAGAATTTTCACTTTTATTCTCTACCATCTTGTCTCATCTCACATATTTGTGATGATTTAAGCAGTGCTGGGTTGCATGCAAGTTTTTGGGGACAACTATGGTACTTGTGCTCCTGTGTGATGTTGGGTGCTTTTACATGCTGACAGACTACACTAAATGTGGATAGATGAATAGGTTCCTGACATGGATTCATCTCTTTTTGGAGGGAATTCTCTTGTATAATGGTGCCTCACCAGTAAAGAAAAGTGCAGATGATCCCGACAGTCACAAGCAGCTGAATCATCAAGGTCAAGTAGACTTTCCTTATGAATCCTGAAAGAAGGATACAGACACATAGAAAGGTAGACAGACAGGAGAAATATAGACAACAACAAAAACAAATGGAAACAGACTGATAAAGATAGCCGTTGATAGGGTTGTTTGTGCCGCATAACATTTCAGAATGGCTCTGTTTTCATCAAAACTGCATTTCATCCTCTCATTTAAAATGATTTGTGTTGCGTGGGAGGTGACGAGCTAAGGCAGGGTACAGCAGAGATCAGAAAACAATTTTCAATTTCAAATCAATTTCGAGAAAACCCTGCAAAGCAAATGAGGGAGTAAATATTGCGTATCCCTTTTTCAATTCTGACTATGCAAACAAAAAATATATTAGCTTCTCTCGATTTCTGTTTCTCCCTGCGCCCATTCCTCACTCCCTACAGTCCTCACCTCTTCGTATGGCAGCATCACTGAAGCTACTATCCTCTATGCCCTGAGAGTAGTCAGGTGGAGCGTGACCGTACTGCTGGTTGCCTCCAGCTGCTGTCAGTTCCTCAGGCTGGACCATGTTATCATAGTTGCCAGGAGGGGAGACCACTGCAACATTCCCATTCCCTACCTGGTTCATCCAAACCAACAAAAACACAACAGGTGAAACTTCTAGAAAATTCTGCTTTTGAGCATAAATCATGAATTGTGTTCTTTTTGAAGTGCATTAATGAAAGAAAATCAATCATGTGTAATCAAAATTGTTTTAAGAAGGATTTAGGATGATCAAAGGCTGGTAGTGTGTGTGTGTGGGTGTGTGTGTGTGTGTGTGTGTGTGTGTGTGTGTGGCTAATGCTAAAAGTTTGACAAACTGAATAGGAAAAAAAACTCAGCTCACCGCCTCTCTTTTCTCATGTGGGCCAACAAAAATGTTCTAATATTTCAACTAACCTGATAGCTCATGCCTGTGTAAGAACTGTGTCCATAGTCCTGAGGATTGTACGGAGGAGGGTTAGCTCCATAACCACCATTGTTGCTGTCTTTAGTTTGCTCCATTCCACCAAAACCTGGCAACTGAGCAGAAAAGAAATGTCAAAGTTACAAGTAAGTTAAGGTCATGGCTGAGACACAAAAGTATTCTTATTGAGCCCCGTCAGCGCTTTCATCAGTGATGGTAATTGGGGCAATGTCAGTGTGGAACAAATAAATGTGTAATTACAAAATGATGCATCACACAAACACAGAGAGCCATCCATGACTAACATTCATAATTATGGCCTTAAGTCTCCATTTAATAGAGCTGTATGTATATTTAATGGCCAAATAGGTTGTGGTTAATTGATCTCAAAGGAAAGGCAGTTGTCATCAAGAAGAACAGACATACAGTCAACTCAGGGATCCTATTTTATACATAGTGAAGACATAAGAGAAACAAAGTAAGGTCCTCGGTTTTGCATTAATCATTAAAGAAATTAAGTTATAGTTAGCCTCACAACGGCCAACTCTGTATGATAAGAAACTGTGGTGAAGCAATAACTATACTGCTTGTAGATTAAGAACTGAGTCCAGTATCAAGGATATATTAATATATTATATAATATAATATATTATCAATGCATATAAATTTGTTGTAAATTCTCTGGCTTAATAAATAATACACTATCACTATCTATACCAGTTATTAGTAACAACTTTTGAACTCTTGGCAGTGACAAATCATCTGCCATCTACAACCACATTTTGTCTTTCAGTTCCTACTTCAAGTTCGTAAACTCAGCTCCCCAAAACTAAAACCTGTCATGGACAGAACAAAGTTAAAATATCTTTAAAAATACTTTCAGATATTTGACTGATATCAAGTTTTGTTTCGTTCACCTACATAGCCAGGAAGGCTTGAACATCACTTCTGAGATAGGATGAATAAAGCTCTTTCAAAAGCACCCCCCCATGTTTTTCAAGTTTTCAACAAGTGATCAATTGTTGTTTGATTTGGGTCTTGTTCACATAAATGAATTATTACAGCTCTAATCCATTAAAATGCGTCTTACCTCTGCTGTGACGGCCCAGAATTTGCCCTGCAACTCTTCCTGTAGTGTTAGTTCACCTACAGGGCAAAGTCTACCTGCTATCAGTTGGTTCCCACAGAGACAGGACTTTAGCTCCAGGGGAAAGGCTGTATCCCTCATTAGGCTCAATGGGATATTCAGATGAAGTTCTTAAAATGTCATTAAACCAACCAGGCTGGCACTTTGTCAGAGCAAATTGTGTCTTTACCTTTTTCTTTTACTAATACATATCCACACAGGCCTTCAGAACCATTTAATACTGGTGCTTTCACACACTTCACCAAAGTTGAATTACATTTCAATTCCCTGTAATGATACACCATTAGCCTGCTATGCGTGATAAGCCTGTAACATTTCATCTTGTTTTAGAAGAAAGGGCAAATACAGCACAATGGCACCCTTTGAAATCCTGTGAGTCACATGACCTTCCTGACTCACCTGGGTTACAAATTGATAGCAACCAGCCAGTGAGAGAGAGACAAGTGAATGATGAACGGCATCAATCCAACCTACACAAAGGGATTATGGGTATTGAGTCAGAGAATAGCTATAGTCCTACTGTATGCCAAAAATATATGTAATATGGGTCAACACAGTCTTAATGCCTCTCCGTGGAGAATCGCTACTGAAAGGATCTAGTGAAGAATTCCTCCATGAATTACAAACTAGTCCAGGATGAAACCATTTTCTATGAAGAAAAGCAAAGTGCTCAAGTAAATGGTAATTTCCACTTCTTAGCCTTGATTACACTAAACAATTAGTGTTTTAATGTGATATTTAAAGTGATTATGCCTCAGATACATAATTAAATACTGCTTCTTTATTCATAGTATGGATTAACAATCAAAGAATCCAACAGACCTTGTACCTTATGTACAAACAATCAGCAATGCAGCAATGAGTGTGTCAGCAGTTGAAGGTAAGGTTTTATGGTATAATGTTGCCAAAACTTACAATTCCAAATTCACCAGATCAGTGCACACATCACAAATAAGAGAATTTCTACAAGGTGAGTTAATCCATTCATTTCACAGCAGCATTCAGAAACAAATCATACTGTATATCAAGCAAACACTGGGGGGCACTAGTCTCCTGTGCTTCTTCTACTAATTGCAGTGATTTGGTTGTGACTCTCCCCCTTCTTTTGCTGCCACCTCCCTACCCAACCAGCAGCACCAAATCCTCCAGAGAGCTGTCTTAAACAGACTGCCATGTCATTGTAACTGCTGGATCAAATCCTTAATTTCTCTCACCTACATGTGACATGTGATGATCTTGTTTCTTTTGTGCGTTGCGAGAAGAAATAGAAACATTGTTTTTAGCCTACAATAAAGAATCATTTCACAGAGGAACAAAATAAAGACTTGTCACCCATATTTGAAGGGGCAGAGAGCTTTTCTGTGACAAACACACATTCTCGCTCTGTTCTTTGCTGATTGGTGTGTCAGTCAACATGGGCTGGATTTACACTGCCTGCTCAAATCTGATGAGCTTGCTCTCACCTATTCATGAGATCTCAGTTGGATTTGAATGGGCGGCACACCAAACAGAGTCACATTTGAGCAGGCAGTTGAAATCCAGCCTGTGTTGACACACCAATCAGTGTGGAGCCCAGTGTGAGGCCGCATTTAACACAGATCTGATTGTCTCGGCGCTGTCCAAACAGAAGCAACGCATGAGGCTGAAGCCACATGGAGCAGAATGTGTGCAGAGCACAGAGCTGTGTCCAGACCATGATACACAGAAGGGATAGATAGATAGATAGATAGATAGATAGATAGATAGATAGATAGATAGATAGATAGATAGATAGATAGATAGATAGATAGATAGATAGATAGATAGATAGATAGATAGATAGATAGATAGTGTTTTCTGTCTCAGTGCAGACAGACTGTGACAGCTCTGTTTTGTCAGACTGAGTCAATGCTCTTTGGGGCTTTTGGGACTGAGGATCACAGAGGGGAATGTTCTGGTGTCACTGGAGAAGGAGAGATGTAGCCTTCATGTGAGTCTCTCTTTCCACTGCACAGTTGTGTGAATTACTGGCCACAGAAGGATTTATTTGGAGAATTAAAATGGTGGTTTGTGTGGGGCATCAGAGAGTCCCAGTGCAGGTCTGGAGGTCTGTGTCACTAGATGCCTCTTCATTTCTAATTTACAACCCTCCTGAAACTGGTAATGTATCATTACAGCAAGATGTATGGCTGATGGGTGAGTTCTACAATGTCTCTCACTACAGAGTGGGACTGCATGTGTTATTGTAAATAATGAGACAGGATGTTGTTCTATTTAATCATATCAACTAGTCCAACTCTTTGAGGTTAGTAATATTATTTCAGTAACATAAGTAACATACAAAAATTTTAAATTAAAATGAACAATCCTGACACAACATTTTCACCTATTAATCATCAATAATAATCATCAATAATCAGTGTTGCATTGGTTTTCAGAATGACTTGCATGATCTTGTTTTGCAAATGAATGCAATACAAAAGGCACAGCTGCACTCGATCTAATGCAATAGACATAATTAAGTGAATAAATGACTGTTATCCATAGTTGATTTAATATATTGCGCTACTGTAGCTGAAAGCACAAAACAGTAGATGAATTTATCCTTATTAGAGTCAGAGTTTACATTAGCTGTGTCTACAATGAGCACTTCATTACTAAATTATAAATAATCTCCAAGAAACTTCTGTCTAAATATATTCAACGAGGAGCTTAATTGAATGAGTATCATTAACTGTGTTGCAGACATACCTGAAACACATTCACTGAAATGGTCTAGGGTAAAAGAGTTATTTTCGTCTGTGGCTTTGTCACAATTTGTCTTCAAGATAACGACATTAAAGAAAAAAAAAGTCTACTCTGACATCACTTTGGATCCGTTAAATAAACTCACAGATCCAGTTTGAAATAATGCTATTACAGCAGGATGCTTAATACAGAACATGTAACAAAATCCACAGGCTTTAAGTGTGGAAAATGTCCTATTAATGTAATGTAAGTTTCCTTCAGGTTACTTGCAAACGGTTTGTTAAGTAGCATGTAAGTGAGCCATCATTAGCCAAACTTATCTTGACCAGATTGAAATTCTAAGAGCTAAACTGAGCTGACACTTCCCTGGCCTGCTGCTAGCTGTTGACGATGCCGGCCTCACTGTCTTCACCATGTTCTTTTGGTGCAACGTCTCCAAACAGGAGTATTATGGATTTTCTACTGGTTAAATGAGCTGCAAAGCTACCTCCCACCATGGGCCAAGAAGATTCCAGTGCTTGCCGGTGCACTTAGAGGAACAAAATATTAAATAGTGATACGGAGACATGTAGACAAGTGCTACAACAAAAAACTTAACCTTGAAGTAGAAATTTAAGTTGTTTATGGTGGGTCCTATGGTTAAATATAACTGTATACCCAGTTGCCATAAAATCAATATGGAATCTTTCCTAGGACAGACTAAAGGTGATCTGGAAAAGACAGTGATACACACACACACACACACACACACACACACACACACACACACACACACAATATAACAATATGCTAACATATCTCCTACTGTGTACAAATGCTGTTGGCTTTTGGCAGTCCTTTCTTTCTAACTCGTCTCTGACTAATTTTCACTCATATTAACTTTTTGTTTTGCTTGAACTAAAGCTGTCACACCATTATGTTTCTTTTACCAACAAAAAGTGGAATATATAACAACATCAGCATGGATAATGAAAGCCATTATTGCATTATTCATCCACATTGCCAGTTTAGAAAATAGCACTTCGCTAGTTTTTCCATGTTTCAACAATACTCAGACAGCTGAGTCACCAAATTGAATTTTCAAGTTGTTTCAAGTTAATTCGGTTTAACACATACTGCTGACCAAGACCCAAAGCTGTGTGACAGTTTGTAAGGCATCGCCGACATCTACTCTCTAATTACTCTCAAATTATTCTAACTTGATCTGTTTCTTGGATAGATCTGTAAATGATTTGAAATCTTCTTTCCAATGATGAAACAATTTTGTTAAAATTAGGGAAAGCAACTTTGAAACAGCTGAATTAATTAACTGAATTTATATAAGACATCCTGTTCTGGTAGTCATTTTGACTATGACTCAATTTAACAAGCATCTGATTTTAATACCCCTGTTACATGTTTCTCTGTCCCAACATGAAAAAAGTCTGAAAAGCTAAGCCAGTTAATTAGAGTCGACAGACTTCTGATCTTACCATCCCAGATGGATCTGAAACACATTCTGACTGCTCACTTTTCTGACGATATTAGGATGTTGGGTTTGGGATGTTGGAGCTGATTCAGAGTGGAGTGCAGTGTCATGATGCCACAAAAAGATTGAGGGGAAAGTTTCTTCAAAGCAAAGGTAGTGGTAGTGTCTGACAGGCTGGGTTCATGCTGCCAGGTCAAATATAGGCTGAAGCTCTACGAAATCCCACAGGGTCAAAAGCAAGCATCATCATGGAAAAGACTCCTCCTTTGTATGTGCCCCTGTTGCAGAAATACCTAAAAAGGTTTTATGTGGAAATATTTTGTACATGTACATATATATATAATATGTATATATATATATATATATATATCTCAACTGTTATTTTATTATATTTATATATGACAAGCAAAAACAATGTTCATCTGACTATACTGACTATATGAACAGACAAATCAATGTAACAAAGTGTATGGATGACTGAGATCCCACTGTGACAATCTCCAGTCCGATATAGCAGACGATCAAACCAGTAGTAGTAAAGCAATTGTAAGTGTAAAGAAAATGAAGTCATTGTGAGAGATCCATCTTTCCAAGGACAGATGTCTCATCTGTGAAGAGGCCATGCAGCCATTTGCTGTCAGATGCTCCCTGTCAAAAACTGGGCAGAGAAGATTTGAGTTTGGGCCTTTTCTTGCCTGACAGAAAGTATTCAAACAGAGAAAATGGATTTCACATAAGCCATGACAACCACAGAACAATAAGTGACAGTGGCATTTCACTGCTGGTATGGCTCTGACAAGAGGAACCACTGCTGCCACCACGC